GCCTCGATGAGGTTAATGAGCCAACCTTACCTACTCTTCTTCCATCGCTCTATCTCCAGCCACCTCGTACAATGCTTCCTCCAAGCTCTTCACCGCTGTTTGCTAAGAATCTATATATGCGTACGCTGTTAGACACTACACCACTAACTATTCGGGTTACCTGTAGCTAGCCAGACTGCGGTTATTCACCGCAGCCATTAGTATTCTCAGATAAATCAACTGGTAACTTATAGAAGCACTACACCCAAAAGCACCTGCAAATCTCATTTAGTATGAGAAAGAACGACTAGGCACAAGCAGCATTAAGTCCGTCAAGTAGCTCATCGTTCTTTGAGCTAAAGAAGACAACGGCTAAGCAGCCAGTTAATGCATCAAAGTATAGAGATTTACTGCTACAATTTGTAGTATCAAACAATCTGTCATTACGCCTTGTTGATAGTCTATCTTTTCGTCAAATTATTCAATTCTTAAGCCCTATTACTTTGTCAGTATCTGCTAGAACACTACATCGCGACCTTCAAAGGCGGTTCTCACTATGCTGTGCTTAGTTACAAGCAGAACTCCATTCTTATATTGCAAATGGAGGCCAGATATGCTTGACTACCGACTTATGGTCTGTACGCAACTACACTGAATACTCTGCAGTAACAGCACATTGGATAAATAGCAAGTGGCAGCAGAAGTCAAATCTGTTAGATGTGATTCATCTAAAAGAGCCAATTCACAGCGGTGAATATCTTGCAAGCCAATTATATGCCGTTACAGATGATATGGGGATTACTGATGCTATCTTTACATGTACACGAGATAATGCATTAGCTAACACTGTTATGCTTGCTGAGTATAAGCTCTTAGCTCGCAATCATTCAACTTCTATACAACAGCCCTAGACTTTTACTGTTAAAGAAGGCGATGTACGTTGTATTGCACATATTATTAATATTGCTGTTCAACACGCTTTAAAGACAATTAAAGCGGACCCTTTAGCAGAGGCGGAGACATATAGGTGTGAGCTAGGTGCTGTACGAATCCTACGTACTGTTGATTCTCATACAGAAGTTATAAATACACTTGCTAAACTTCGGAGACATATCTATGTGTTTCGGAATCGCCGGTTATAGAAGGACGCTCTATAGAAGCAAACAATGGTAGCTGGCCTTAAAGTACAGCAATTATCACTTAATATGCTAGTCTGCTGGAATTCAACATATAAGATGCTTGAATCCGTAATAAAGCTTTAAGTGCCAATTATAGCTATCTGTGCGTCGCAGCAGTGGGATATTAGCATGAGAGATATTGCTCTTAATGCTAATGACTGGTTAACGATTAAAGAGCTTAAGCTATTTTTCGTTATCTTCTTACGCCCTTCGCAGAAGCTACAAGCTAGCACATACCCTACTCTTAACTACGCCATTCCACAGTATTTAAAAATGATTAATAAGCTTAATCATATGCTAAAGGAAGTAGGTGAGCAGTCTACAATTGGAATTGTATGCAACGCAGCGCTTTACAAGCTAAATGAGTATTATACTCTTATAGTAAACTAGCAGTATAGCCACTTAAGTGTAGCTACAATTTGTGATCTAAGAATGAATCTTGAAGTCTTTACAAGCTTATGGCTAAGTAGTAGAGAGGCAAGTAAAAGGAATCGAGTAAGAGCTCACTTTTAAGATGTCTTTACACAGTATAAGACCCGTCAATATCATCTTGACACTAAGAGAATCGAGCAGCAGACAGAATTAGCTAATGCAGCAGTCCATGAGACTGATTCCGACGATGATCTATACGCTACAGAAGGAATCTCATTTCAAGAACCTAAGTGGAAGCGGTGGATACTTGAGCTACAGCCTGGCTAACAGACAGATATTCTAAAGTACTGGTTATCAAAGCAGTATATGTATCTAATTGTTGCGCAAATTGCAAGAGACTATCTTGCAATTCCAGCTACATCTGCTGCATCAGAGCGGGTATTTAGTAATGGCAGCGATATAATTACTAAGAAGCGGAACCAGTTGTCGCCTTCAACTGTAAGATATTTACTCTGCCTACGGGATTAGGGTGTACTTCCAAAAGGTGACGACAGCGAAGGCGATGGAGACGATGAGTGGGAGGAATAGGGGTTGCAACAGTATATTACATTATTATATCACGACCTAACGTTATTATTATAGTTATTATTAACCTCAATTCTACTTTTCTGCATAGCAATTTTATAGCAGAGCCTCATATACCCGGGTATATACCCATACCTACCCGTGATATCCTACCTACCTACCTACTCTACCCGCGAAGCTCCGGGTATATACCCCAAGTGGTACCCGCCGAACACTGCTTCGAGACGACAGCAGCACAACCCCCCAGGACGCCATACAACAACTTAATCGACCTTAATCGACCTTAATCCCCACCTTTCCAATCTTCCTCAAGCCAAACCCAATAATCGCAAGCACCACCACATTAGCACCAAAGCACAGCCAAAAAGTCGCTCTATACCCATCCATCAGCATCTCCGCGACACTCTCATCCTTCCCTTTCTCCGACAGCGTGACGCTCGACGCCACAACAGCCGTGATAGCCAGCCCGACTGAGTTCCCGATATTCGAGATGGTGTTGAAGACACCTCCTGCCAAGCCGTGTGTCTTGGGTGGGAACACAGAGGTAATGAGCAAATTGGCGACAGTGAAGAGGACGTCAGCGCAGATAGGGGCGCAGGCGGTGGCAAAGAAGGCATAGGTCCAGTAGGAAGAGGCGGGGTCGATGATGGCCATTAGGAGTGGAGATAAGGCGCTGATGCATGCGGATGCGAGGACGAGGATGTCTGCGCGGACGCGCTTGACGAGCCATCCTGTGAGGAAGTTTGTTCCCGTACCTGTGACTACCATGGGGAGAAAGCGGATGGAGGTCTGGATAGCGGAGAGGGACTGCACGGATTGGAAGAAGAGGGTTAGGAAGAACTGGACTGCGTTGAAGGTGCCCCAGATGATGAAGACAGTGATGCAGAGGGAGGCAAAGACGCGGTTGCTCCAGATGGAGGGGGGGATGATCGCTTTGAGCCCCAGGCGCTCTTGGCGCTTGACGTAGAAGACGAAGGCGGGGATGAGGGCCGTGGCGATGGAGAAGAGGGTGATGGATACGGGGGCGAGGAAGTGCGATGCACCGCTTGCGAGGACGGAGAGGACGTAGGAGAAGAGCCCAAGGGAGGTGCTGAGGAGCATGCACCCGATCCAGTCGATTTCAGTGCCCATGCGGCGGAGGATGGTGCGGAGGGATTGAGACTCGGCAGCTTGGTCGACGGGGACGCCGAAGATGGAGATGACGAAGATAATGGCCGTGAGGATGGCGGCGATGTAGTATCCGTACCGCCAGCCGATCGCCTCGACGAAGACGCCGCCGATAACAAGCCCGACTGAGAACCCAACGGGCTGGCCGGCACCCAAACACGAGAAGGCAATATTACGCCACGAACCGGTGGGAATATTGCTCGTGATCAGGATCACAGAAGAAGGGAGACATAGGGACAATGCCACGCCCTGCGCAGCACGGAACAGTATCAACTGGATGCTGGTCTTGCAGACACCGCAAGCGACGGTGGTTACGGCCATGAGAAAGACGCCAAGGAGGTAAATTCGACGCCCTCCGGCGACATCTGCTATCGATCCCGAGAGGAGGAGGGTGCAACCGCACGCCAATGCGCTCACAGAAGCAGGCCAGAGCAGTAGATCTTGAGATAGGCCTAGTTCAGCTGCCATTGTGGGCAAACTGACGACTAGGATACCGGCCAACATGGAGTTGATCAGCGTGATACAGGCGACAGTGCCGACGATGACGGTGGCTCTCCATTTGGAAATCCCTGGTGCGTCTCCATTCGCATTCGTCAGGGGCTCGGTGATTTCTTCATCTGCTGGGACCTGCACAGCTTGAGCGTTAAGGCTTGCTTGACTAGTCTTTGGATCTTGGCCCAGGATGGGGTATCCCATCGGCTCCAGTTCAATGCCCCGATAGTTTTCCTCCCGAGTCTCGAGACTAGTGGTTGTTGCCGACATCGTGATGGAGGCCACGGAACTGGCGTAAGAAATTGTATGGCAGGAGGGCAAAGTGCAAGATGTCAAGATCAGATCAATTCCACTCCGATAACGCCCATACTCAACTTCGAATAAAGGATAAATGATTACATCGGTGCTGGCAAAGAGTCATTAGCCCGTGACTAAGCAGCCGTCCATCGGCTTAAGAGACTCATCGGCTTAATACGGGGCAAAGAGGATCGATCGCTCGCCAATCAACAATCAGATTCCATCAAGGGTCAATTAATCTGCATCTTGAAGCCATCGCGAGATCAAGGTTCCTGCAGGGCCGATTCTGGGTTGACCAGTGGACCAGTCTGAGACAGCTGGGTTTATGCAAGGCAGACTGTAGCTAATAATAGTACGTAAGTACCTCTTTCCATAAATTTGTATATAAATGTACATTATCACATGATCTGTCATAAGGCTTAATATATTTGTAAGTTTACGCAAGATAAGTGTTAGCTTATACTTATTAATAACTATCCAGAAGTTACTTCTAGTCGGGTAGAGCGTGATCCAACCCTGGATTAATAGAGTCGTCGCTGCGTATGCTGCATTGATGAGAAGGCGTACCGGAACTGGATAAAACGATATAATAAATAATTGATCCTGTAAATGGTCCCGATTTCAGCTTTCTATTTTCTTTCGCATGTATGTGGAGAGTTTTGTACGGTTTCAAGCATTATACGGAATATTTCGATTCAATGCAAGCCTCCTGTCGCCGTTATGATCGACTGCCGTTATACGCGTATGCGCTCTATACGCGTATAACGGCAGTGGAGTAACGTCTGTGCGGGGCCCGTTAGGGCGGTTTGGGTTGGTTTGGGTTGGTTTTGGTGGTTTCTTTGGCTGTTGCCGGTTTTCTCATGGGATGGGTGTTCCCGTTCCCCACTAGGACGGCCCATGGCCTAGACTGGCACTGGCGAAGACGGCTGGTCTGTTTTTACCATCGATGACCACATATAAGGCTTACGTTCCATTGTACTAATCATGAAGTTGTTGTTGTAGTTATTATACCCGTACCGTTGCGTGGCAAACGTTTTTAGAGACTCGACCAAAGAAATTCGGCCAGCTCTCCCTTTCATTTAGCGGTAACACCTCTTGCTAGACCACTTCAAGATTGGTCATGGCGAAGCAGATGGGCCTGGAAGACCAGGATGGAGCCCATGGTGAAGATGATGCGCCTCCAGCTTACGAAGAGGTTGTAGAAGAGGTATTGGATGCCACGCAAGTGATAGGTATACTGCTTCTGGCTTCAACAATCAACTACAACAAGACACGGTTTGAATTTACTAATTTTTATATAGACAATGGACGAATAGACGTTAAATTAAATTCGAGGCTCGCGAGAACACTCTCCAAGCTCATGGTCAAGAGCGAGGAGGTTTCTCATGCACCACCAACTTATTTGCCACAGCCAACGAAGGCTAGCGTCTCGCTGAATATCGTCATCCAGGTAGTTGGAAGTCGAGGGGATGTTCAGCCGTTCGTTGCGCTAGGAAATGAGCTCCAGCGGAGTGGACACCGCGTACGACTCGCGACCCATGACACGTTCAAGTCCTTTGTGACCGAAGCTGATTTAGAGTTCTTCCCAATCGGGGGAGATCCCGCAGCTTTGATGGCAGTAAGATATTCCAGCCCCGCAATACGTGCTATCTTAAGTTTGACTCTCTTGTAGTATATGGTTAGGAACCCTGGACTTTTACCGAGCATGGATGCTCTGCGCTCCGGAGAGATCCAGAAAAAGAGAGCAATGATGGAGGAAATGATGGAAGGATGCTGGAAGGCATGCATTGAGCCAGACCAGGATTCCGGTAACCCTTTCGTGGCAGATGCAATCATTGCGAATCCGCCGAGTTTTGCCCATGTCCACTGTGCGGAAGCTCTAGGGATTCCGGTCCACATCATGTTCACTATGCCTTGGACGGCCACAGAAGCATTTACGCACCCTCTGGCAAATATAAAGACCACGAATTATGATGAGAAGCTGACGAACCGCTTGTCGTATGCAATTGTAGACTGCATGATGTGGCAAGGGTGAGTACTAAAAGAACCTTTACCTGCTCAAGATTTACTAATATGAGAATGTAGCCTGGGTGATATAGTGAACAGTTGGCGGTATAGACATCATTTAACGCCAGTGCCGTTTAGCGAAGGGCCATTTCTCTCAGACTTGCTTAAGATACCAACAACATATTGCTGGTCTCCTGCGTAAGTGATATTTATCGGGCCAGGGAGACGAGTGTCGAGGCACACGTTTGATTTTTTTTTCGGGAACTTGCAGATGGCTACTTTATGATACTTGTTAGAAATGGCACGCTAACTCCTGGCATCTACAGATTAGTACCGAAGCCTTTAGATTGGCCAGATCACATTGGTGAGTTTTCATTGGTGTCAAAATTGAGACTATTGAGTTAACAAGATCAGATGTTTGCGGATTTTTCTTTCGCGATGCGCCTAAATATTCACCTCCGTCAGATATCGATGAATTTCTTCACGCTGGTCCTGCTCCGGTTTATATTGGGTTTGGAAGCATTGTCATTGATGATCCGGAAGCGTTTACAAATTTAATCCTAGAGGCAGTCGAGGCGGCTGGCGTTCGAGCGATTATATCAAAAGGGTGGAGCAAACTGGGAGATACAGTGACGAGAGTCCCAAAGGATGTTCTATTCATTGGAGACTGTCCACATGGTGAGCATGTATTGCCATTTCCGCTATCCACTTGCTGATTTTGCAGAATGGCTCTTCCAACATGTTGCTGCGGTTATACACCATGGCGGAGCCGGAACAACAGCATGCGGTCTAGCAAACGCGTGCCCAACAATGATCGTGCCATTTTTTGGCGAGTAAGTCCATCTCACCTTTTCAGCATTGACATTCTGACACACGTTGAAGTCAACCATTTTGGGGAGCTATGGTTGCGACCGCTGGTGTGGGGCCTGATCCCATCCCACACAAGTTGCTCACAGCTGGAAATTTGGGCCAGGGGATCAAATTTTGTCTATCAAAAGATGCAGTACATGCTGCAAAGGAAGTCTCAGCTCGAATGTATAACGAGTCGGGGGTCCGGACTGCAGTCGAGTCATTCCATCGTCATTTGCCAACGGAGGCTTTATCTTGCGATCTTTTACCTCAATATGCAGCAGTTTGGCAGACTAAGCTTGCCAACAAGTCGCTGAAGCTATCTAAGATTGCTGCTGAAATGTTAATCGCAGAGCATCTCATTTTAGCCAAAGACCTCAAAGTGTGAGTTTGACCATTCTCCAAAGAAAGTGGAAAGGGTAGAGATTATAAGATGCTAGCTAACACGACGTAGTTACCAATCGAAGCCAATACACATTGTTACTCGACGTTGGGATCCTATTACGGCTGGTTCGTCCTCAACTATTGGAGTATACACTGGTATGGTCTCTGGCGCCACTGGTATATTCTCAAAGCCATTCGATGAATACAAGCGTTCGCGTAAGGACGGTTCATCATCCTCAGGTGCCAAAGTAGCTGGTAATATGGCCCTAGCATCGGCTAAAAGTGTTGGTCGCGTCAACTCGAGCCTGTTCAAGGGAACAATGATTGATGTGCCGCTTGCAATTACGGAAGGCTTACGGGCAACGCCTAAACTTTATGGGGAATCTGTGCCGGATCACGAGCCCATTACTGGTTGGAAAAGCGGCGCAAAGGTTGCGGGAAAGGTTTGCTATATCGATGTTTGCTGTTAATATAGCATAGCTGACTCCAGCGTTATTAGGAGTTTGTGGAAGGCGTCGGTGGAGGCCTTAGCGGCTTCTTCGTGAAACCTTACGAGGCGGCTAAAAAAGATGGTACAAAAGGCTTTTTTGTTGGATTGGGGAAGGGGACATTAGCGCTTCATACGAAACTAGGTTCATGTACGTCTTTCCTTCTCCGCGCCCTTGAACTTATTTTTCAAGTTTTACTTAGCTAACAATCTCAGCTGCTCTTGGTCTGTTTGCATATCCTAGCCAAGGCATCTACAAGTCAATTTATGCATCAACTCATGGTGGAACGAGCAAAAATATAGCGATAGCTCGCCGGGAAGAAGGCTCTTATTTACTTCCAAGGCATGAAATTGATTTGCGACGACTTTTAGAGGCGTGGGAGAGATGCGGTGGAAAGTACGCTGGCACCTAGGTTAGAGCATCAAACTCAAAATATTACCTGTATATTAGTAGTGAGGAATAGGCACCGAACAAAATACCTATACAAGCGTTCAAATCCACACAAATATTATATTTGCGCATGGCTGGGTTCTATGGACTGTCCTGAGACTTCTTGTCTAAGAAGGCAAGAGCAGCAACACAGAGAGCATCAATACCAGTTTGCATCGTAGGGTGTATCGCCGGTGCGAATCTCGCCGTGTGATTAGCGGGAATATCATCAATTCTTCCTTCCTTTAACCTCTGATCCCATAGTTCCTCCTCTACTCCTCCCCAATGCCAGAACGCACACGGACGGCCCTGCGATGTTGCGAGCACCGAAAAATCCTCTGCAATGGTCGTAGTCGGTATATTAGCATCAAAGTTCTCCCCAAAATGCTCACTGAAGCCCTTTCCTAGCATTTTAATCATCGACTCATCATTCACCGTGTTTGGCAGGTGCCGAGTCATTCTGAAAACAGGCGCGATCGTCGAACCGCTTGCTTCGCACTCGGCCTTGACGATCCTCCGGATTGATGTCAGAAGCTGCTCGCGCGTTTGAGGGCTCACACTGCGTATATCGATGCCGATTTCCGCAGAGTCGGCGATGACGTTCTCGGTATGGCCGGCTTGCAAACTCCCAACTGTGAGAACGGCAATATCGCTTGGATTAATCTCTCTACTGGTGATGGTCTGCAGACGTACTACAACGTGAGCAGCCATGACAGCAGGGTCAATAGTCCGATGCGGCTACATATGTCAGCTCTTGAATGTAATAGACACTCTGTAGCATCAACTTACCTGCGACCCATGCCCACCAATCCCAAACATCGTAATTTTCATACTATCCGCCCCCGCCATAATGGTCCCCATCCTCGACCCCACACTCCCTGCCCGCATCGCCATCACATGTTGCCCGAGCACAAAGTCAGGTACGGGGATCTTGTGCCTATCATACAGACCATCATCTACCATTGCCTTCGCGCCGCTTCCACGCTCCTCGGCAGGTTGGAAGAGAACTATTAACGTGCCGCTCCACTGTTCCTTAAGCTTAACCAGCCTTTCTGCTGCGGCAAGGAGACATGTCATATGCATATCATGCCCGCACGCGTGCATCACCGGCCGCAAGACACCCTCAACGTCAGGCATATTTACTTTGCTGGCGTACGGAAGGCCGGTTGCTTCCGCGATTGGGAGGGCGTCCATGTCGGCGCGTAGAAGGATAGTTTTCCCAGGGCCATTTTTTAGCACGCCGACAACACCGTGGCCGCCAATGTTAGTGGTGATGGTAAAAGCCTGGAGACGCGAGAGTTCGCCTGCAACCGTTTTGGCAGTTTTTTCTTCAAGATTCGAGAGCTCGGGATGCTCATGAAAGTGCTTATAGAGAGCCTCGTATTTCTCGACATCTATAGGAGCGGTGAGGAGGAGGTCAGTCGGAGAGCCGGTGATCCGACGATTTGCGTCCATAATTGCAGATGCAATGGTGTTTGCGTAGATGGTGATTACGGGCCCCTATACCAAGGCTCCTGATTATACTCTTTCGATAGGAGAATTCCAATTCTCAATTAGCTGCCTGTGCTCGCGCGAGCATGCCACGCTGGTAGTATCAAAGGTGGGTCTGCTATCATCAGCCCCACTTTTACCCCGCGATCAGGGGGACGACGGTGGCGATGCGGGAATTGTCACAGCTTCAACCACCCCCAATAAATAAAACACTAAGCGCTTCTAAATATTCCAAAACTCAGTAGTGGCGATTGTCCGATATATGTACGAAATAATGTAACATCACTCTAATTTGATACCAAGTAAAGTCACGTGGAACAATTCAGCTCCCCGCCGTTAATCCAGTCTTCAAAGACCTTGCGGCAATGAACTCTTACTCTTCGTCAGGTTCGGCCAATTATGACGGAGGCGTCGAGTCATCTTTCTCTAATGCTCTGACACTAGGGGGAAGTCCAGCAGGACGCTCAGACGAAAGCACGAAGATGGCCAATGCATGTGCACAGTGCCATAGGCAAAAGCAGAAGGTTCCCCTCAAACCCAAAATCCCGGCCTTCTGGACCAAACTAACGCAATATAGTGCAATAGAGAGCAGCCGTGTTCAAACTGCGTCCGGCGCAGTATTCCCCATCAATGCGTCTCGTATACGCGTCCAGAACGTCGCAAATCTCGCACTGCTCGACATGATCCGTATCAAGGTCAACCCGCAAGCTTGGCGGAATCAGCTTCGATATCATCTACTCCTGCACAGCAGCAAACCATCTCAGGCCATTTCAAATCAAGAACAGCCAAGATAGCAAAACGTCAGACTCTTGGTCGTCTCTTTAAGGCCAGAGGTGCTGCATCTTATCATGGCGATTTCTACTTTGGGCATCAATCTGCTGCTAGTATGGTAGAAGCAACGACACAGGAAGTACCAAGTGGCATCTACGTTGGCCACTCGCGTGGCAGCCGTATCGGAGCCGCTCAACCTTTCCGGAACGAAAGAGGACCCTATGCTCAGCTCTGGGAACTTATTGGCAGTCTACCCCGCCAGAAAGCAACAGTTGATCATCTGACCGCGCGATTCTTCAAGGAGCTCAACCCAACATTTGACAGTGTGCACGAAGGGACATTCATGACTTCTTATAACAAATTCTGGGATAGGAAAACCGGCTGTGATGATCTTACAAATGTCGATATTCGGTGGCTTGCGGTCTTGTTTATCATCCTAGCTTTTGGAGAGCTACTTGACTGCCCTCAGCCGTGTTCCGCAGAGGCTCAACGAGAGTCCGAAGACTCATCTCTACATTTCTATTGGGCTTCACGGAAGTCTCTTGTTATTGCACCCTCCTTCTACGGAGAAAGCACAGATCTGACATGTGCTGGCATTCTCATCACTCGCTATCTAGTGTATGCGCGCAGGATCTCGGAGAGCTGGCTAACAATAAGCTTTGCGATCCGTATGGCGCAAGCACAGGGAATGCATGTTGATGGCGACCAATTAGATCTCCCCCGCAAAGCCACCGAGACTCGCCGAAGATTGTGGAGCCAACTATACGATTTAGACAGATCGATTGCCTTGGCTCTCGGCAGACCATACGCCATTAATGACCGACATTGCTTTATGAAACAAGTCGAAAATGTATGGGTTGATAACATGACAGACGAAGAAGCAGAGAACGCAACAGCGCTATCTCTTGATACGCCCACACTAAGTGTTCTGATACGTTTCCAGCACCAACTGGCCGTCATCATCGGCCAGATCCAAGAACAATCCTTCACCTTCTCTACCACACCACTTACCTCTTCCGCCTCCTATGACGAAGTCCTGAAATATGACGAAGCCCTCCTCACCTGGAAAGACAGTCTCCCGCCATACTTCCGCCTCGAGAATACCGACCTATCCCTCGACTTACTCCCCGCCTACAGCTTCATCCCCTGGCACCGCCTATACCTACATACCGCCTTCCACTTTGCACGCATCACGCTGCACCGCTCGTACCTCCTACGGCCCTCCATCACTGATCGTTTCCAATACAGCCGCAACGCTTGCATGTCATCCGCGTGCGCAGACCTCAAGATCAAACTTTCGTTCCGTTATCCGGACATGGCTAGCCGGTTGAAATCTAACGTAGCCGCCCATCAACTCTTCAATAGCGCCTTGATACTTGGGGTCATTGTCGTGCGTGACCCGCAGGCACCCCAGACAGACGCGATCTTAGATGATCTCCAGGCGTATTGCGCGAAGCAGAACTCAGATCCATGGATCAACGAGATTGGCCTCGCGGAGATCAGGGTTGTGGAGCTGTGCATTTCGCGCGCAAGGCAGGCACGGAATGATACTGCTGCTGCATCGCCAGCGGAGAATGTCACGCCTGATTTTAATCCAGCTGTAACTTCCGAAGGTTATAATTCCTCAGCGGTTACAAACACGTCTCTATCACAAGGGCTGCAGGGGAGTCATGAGTTGTCGGCGTCACAGCAAAATGCTATGGGAGAGACCTTTCCGTACGCGTTTCAGAACCCAACAGGGCTACAGGATCCATGGTCAGATTTCTGGTCGAATCCAGCCTATTTCTTTCCCGAGGCTATGGATTATCAGATTTGGGAGGGGCTCGTGGATGATCTCGCGGCTGTAAATTAGATTACTATTTTGAGCATAATTATATACCTATGGGATGACTTATAACTCTACTAGTCTATGCTAAACAATAGGATTTGTTAACGTCCCCAGCCCATGGCTAATCCATATCTTCATAGTATCTCCCTCCTGTAGATAAACCGGGGGTTTATAGCTATGTCCAATCCCGCAGGGAGTTCCCGTCAATATGACTGTCCCCTTCTTCAGCGTTGTACCCTATACCTCTCGTTAGCATTCAGCACACCCCAACTCAATCACAGGGAGCAGGCACTTACCACCGAAAGATAAGCAACAATCTCCGCTATGGTAAAAATCATGTTTCTCGCCCTGCCATCCTGCATCACCCTCTCATTCAACGTACTCCTCAACTCCAACACGCTCGGATCCGGCAGCACGCGCCTCGACACCAGTACCGGGCCCACTGGGGCAAAGCCGTCAAACCCCTTGCAATACCCCCACTGCGAGCCCCGTTCCTGGATTGCCCGCGCCGTCACATCGTTCGCGGTCATATACCCCAACACGTACTGCATTGCGTCCGTAGCCGAGACGTCCTTAGCGTCTGCGCCGAGCACCACTGCGAGCTCGACTTCGAGATCGGCCGAGGAGGCGGCGAGGGCGGGGAGGTGGATGGGTGAAGAGGGCGCGTTCAGGCAAGTTGAGGGCTTGAAGAAGACTTCCGGGTTGGTTGGGAGGGCTAATTTCATTTCAGCCTTGGGAGATGTTAGCTGACAGTGATGATATTAGGGCGCTGGGAGGATAAGTAGAACGTACGGCATGGTCGGTGTAGTTGAGGCCAATGCAGCGGATGGTGCCTGCTTCGGCAGGTGTTATGGGTGTGAGAATCTGTGAATGGGCGTTAGATCGGAAATATGCTAAAGGTAGAGTTATCTGGGTACCTCGCGAGCTCTGACAACTCGGCCGGTGAAGATAACATCGAAATCAAGTGCTGAGATGCCGTTGAGGAGTTTGACCATCACGGGCTCGTTTTGCTCCATTGCAAGGCCGACTGGATGTAAAACTTAGCAAGCTCTTATGGGTTCTAAAAACATTTATTTGGGCTTACCATCGAGCTCCGAGTCAACGGGCTCGCCGCAATATTCGTTTCCATCTTCACCAATGAAGCGGACGAAGCGATTCCAGATCTAGTTGTTATTGTCAGTCGAAATCTTCTATCTGGGAAACAATAACGAACTGGAAGATCGGGCGCTGTTGCGGAAGGCATGTTTATGATTTTGGAATGTGATGATAGAATCAAAATCTTAAGACGACGCAGACAGACATCGTCGAAAGAAAGACTGTACTATTTTCTACAACCTGTCACCTTAACCACCGGAACCATTTCCGCATTCCATTTCATTCCGAATACCAGGAAAGAATAAGATGATACGGCTAATCATCATTGTTTAACAAGACGTTTGTAATTTGGCACTTATCATCAGTAACAGCGGTGCCGATCAGGGGCGCCGATCTGCGGGGAAGGAGACTATCGGCCTCTCGGCCGTCTAGCATTCGGCGGTGTCGTCCGATGCTGGATTGCGCTTAGCCTAAACCAGCCATTGATAAGGGGAAAGGACGCTACGGACAATGCTACGGACCACACTACGGATAACGCTACGGACTAGTCCCTTACCACCATCGATTCGGACTACGCTACGGACACATACTACGTACGACCTCACGAAGAAAACGTTGAGCGGGACGCGATATGTCGAGCAATTCGCCACGGGGCAATTATGCGCTACGGACATTCACTCGGATTCCTATCTCTTGGGATTTCCCCAAAGAAGCGGACTCCAAGATCCCGAAGGTAACAGCAGGTCAGGAAGCGGGAACCAAACTGATAGCCGCCTGGGCTGGCATTGCAATATAGATATATATGCGTCTGGCCATGGAGTAACATATTGCACCATTATCAATTTCCTAGACAGAGGTTGCACATCCATCTACTTTCACATATTTTATGCATTGAGCTTCGTCCATCATGGACGTTGAAAGCACCCCAAAACTGGCGGCCAAGGACCACGCACAGATCAACCAACTCGAGAAAGCCTCAATTGATGATGATGGCACAAGTCACGCGAGCACGATGTACATCGACCCGGTAGCGCAGCGTAAACTGCTGTTCAAGCTGGACATGTACTTGTCCCCGGTTATGACTCTGATTTTCCTCACGGCATACCTTGATCGTGCGAACATCGGAAATGCGGCGTCGGCTGGGCTAATCACGGACTTGGGGCTGGTTGGAAACCAGTTTGGAAGTAAGTCCTGTTTCCACACACTCCAAAGACAGACATGAACGCGGAAATGCTAATGTGTGAAAACAGATGCCGTGACGCTTTTCTACGTCCTCTATGTCGCATTTGAACTCCCGTGCTCGCTGGTCCTGAAGAAATTCCATCCTCGTACGTCCTTCCCATCTTTAAGCAGAAACCCAACTAACAGGTATTAGGACGCATGATCCCCGCCCTCATGTTCTGCTGGGCCTGCGTCATCATCGGCAATGGCTTCGTGAAAAACGCCGGTCAACTATACGCCTGCCGCCTTCTCCTTGGCGCCTTTGAATCCGGCATGTTCCCCTGCCTATGCCTCTACCTCTCCACTTTCTACACGCCTGGCGAGCAAGCCGTCCGTATCTCTTATCTCTTCGTCGCGTCCGCTCTTTCCGGCGCTTTCGGCGGGCTCTTCGCGTTCGCGCTCCTGAAAATGGACGGCATTGCCGGCTTGGCAGGCTGGCGCTGGCTGTTCATCATTGAAGGCTGCGCCTCCGTCGTCGTCTCGATTGTGATCTACTTCGTGCTCCCGAATAACTTTGAGGAGGCACGCTTCCTGACAGAGGATGATAAGGCGTTAATGCGCTTGCGTGCGGAAGCCCATGCACGATATAATGGGAAGCCGCAATTCGACTGGGCGGAGGTCAAGAAGGCGCTTACGGACCCGAAGCTGTATATTAGCTGCTGGAGTCAGTTTATGGGCGATACTTGCTCGTTTGGCTTGTCGACTTTTATGCCTATCATCATCAAGGGTTTTGGTTTTGATACTGTTACGACGCAGCTTTTGACTATTCCCATCTACCTCTGGGCGTCGGGAGCTTACATCCTGGTCAGTTGGATGTCCGATAGGTACAATAGCCGTGCCGCGTTTATGCTCCCGGGTGTCATCGTCACGGCTATTGGATATGCAGTCCAGCTCGCAGTCCCGCAAGCCAATCGTGCTCCACTGTATTTTTCTGTGTTTCTCATCGCACCAGGAATCTACATCATGGTCGGCCTGAACTGCACGTGGCTCCTAAATAGCCATGCGGGATACTACAAGCGTGCGACTGCCATTGGTGTCAACCAGACTTTGGGCAACTGCGCCGGTCTGATTATTGGGCAGATCTTTAAGGATTCAGTGGGCGGGAAGTATGTCACGGGTCTGAGTGTCAGCCTGGGTGCGGTGCTACTAGCGGGTGTGGGTCACTCGTCATTGTGGGTTTTGTTGAGACATCAGAATGCGAAGAGAGAGAAGTTGACGCCAGAAGAGAGGGAGGATGCAATCTTGAATGGAAAGGGAGGTGACTTCCATCCAGATTACAGGTATACGCTGTAATATTTTCTGTCCCAAACTTAGTTTCACCATTTTATTTTAGTGTTTTGGGCCAGAACACATATATATACAAATTTGTTAAAGATTTAAAAGCGAGCTGGGAGCATGTGATATATATGTTCTGATCTGTTTGTTGCCTAAATATCCGTACGTTGGGGATCACCAGCCGATATGGGTGGAATCCCTGCTACCGAACAGAATTATCACTTTCGGCAGCACCAAGGTAGAGTCGGAATAGGAATACTACAGTAGGATATAGCAATCATATAGTACTACCACCGGAATCTCGACACTTGTCGCATGTCTTGCTCTTGTGACCTTGCACCGCTTTTGCTCAGGCCCGGCTCAGCGTCGGCTCAGGTATGCTCAGGCCTGGTCAGGTATGCTTTGTTTATGCACCACAACACAGCCAGGGCTCATTTCGCTAGGGTTCGTCAACTCTTGACGAGGAGCCAGAATGGGCCCCGTCTTATCTAAGCCGGCACCCTGGGGTATAGCCCAAAAGAGAGTAGTTGACAGCATGCACGAAATGTGATCCATCCCGTGGTGCGATGTTGCAGGAGACCTATGTTGTGGCGTCACGAATCAGCAAGCTGTAGACACTGACTCGGTGGATATCCAGACTTCATCTGGCAAACCTGACTGAGTAACCCTTCTCCACCCAAAAATATGTTCGTCCCGAGACACCCTTTAGCTCCGTATATAAGCGGCATGTTGGAGCTACTTCGGAGCAAACAGTTCCAGGCAGATGCTATTTATATCGCTTCAGTTGCAACCCGTGCATCCCATCCGTTCTCTCTGAGATTTTCAGCTCATTTCGAAGGCACTGTATCATCGCGCATATTAGCACCAACATGCGAATCATTGGATGCGTTCGTGCATCAGATTTGGCAAACTACTTGCATCTAAGTAATTGCTCAATCCCAGTTGTTGGGGTTGACTGCGCAGTGGCCTGGTCTAGTCTTGGAGAGGATGTAAGCTGGGGGCTGAAGCTCGCGGAGCCACCGATATCCATGTTCTGAAAGATTGTCAGCCCTAGCGTCACTGCGAATCACAACCTTACTTTTAACCAAGCACTAGCGATTCCGTCAGCCGCATTATTGAGCTTCTTTCAATCAAGCACTATCGATTCCGTAAGCCGCATTATTGAGCTTATTGAGCAAATAATATCATTCGCCAAAACCCTCGAACTCGCAGGAAGATAGCCCATGGTAGGCTTGCTATCTTGAGCTGAAAGTGAGATTTGGGCCAAAGCCCTTAATCATTGGGTTTTTATTGCCTAAGCCACTTCCATGCTGTCATCAGCGTTTTAGTGAATTTATGGATAGGTGGATAAATGGGTACTACATCTTTTCTCAGCTTTAACAAGACGAGCATTCTATAAAGTCCCGTTAATTGCCCCATCTGCTACCATCCATCTGCACTTAACCCAAAAACGAAATCATAGTACATATCTCAAGCTCAATCCCACCAAGACCAAAGACACAATTCAAAATGTCTGACCAAGACAATGCCCTTGCGCTCCACAACCAAGGTAAGCCGCGCCGCGCACCACCCCGCAGTGACAATAACTCCCGAAAAACACCTAACAAAGCATCCTACCTGCACCACACACTAATCTTCTCTAAGCCCGCGCCGCCCTCGGCGTCGCCCCCCTCCAATGGGACAACAACCTGCAAGCCGCAGCCCAAAGCTGGGCGAACCACCTCGCTCAAGTCAACAGCTTAGACCACGACCCCAACGCCAGCGCGGGTGAGAACATCGCTCTGTTTTCGCCAGCAAGCGATACGATTCTGGGAAATGCAACGGGGCTGTGGTTAGCTGAGAAGACAGCTTATAGCTATAGCATTTTTGATGGGAGTCAGGTTGAGGCGGCAGGACATTACACTCAGGTATGTATCTGAATACTTCGTGATGTAGATTTTGCATGTTTTGTTGGCTGGATCACGCGCCTGTCTGCCAGAGAAGAGAAATGGGAGTTAGGGTGGAGGACGAGAGGGGGAGCGAGGAGAGAGACAAAAATATCTGAGATGGAGTTAATGATGAACTAACCGATCTTCGTAGTGCGTCTGGGCAAATACCACGAACGTCGGTATCGCAGCCGCGACATCTTCCTCCGGCACCGAGTTCGTCGTTGCACGCTACCTCCCACAAGGTAATGTCATCGGGCAGTACCCTTACCCGCAAGGTATCGTTCCCTTCTTTCCCTATAACTATCTTCCCTCCCCTCCTCTCCTTCTCTCCGTCTCACTTCCTCTTCGCATAACATCGTGTCGTGTAATTCACAAGCAGCGAGCACTAATGCCAAATAATTAAAAGGCCAACTACCGCAACAAGGCTTCGAAGGGATCTTCCTCGTGAACGCAACCAATTCCTCCGGCGGCCAGAAATGCGGCGTTGGCTGGTACCGCAATGCGCTGCAGGCCGAGGGACAATCGCCTGATCCGCCGCTTGAAGCTGCAGGCGTGGGGCGTGACTGGATCCCATGGGAGGGTAATGAACAGAGCGGTATGTCTTTCTTTCATTTCCTGATCGACCTTCTGTTTACTGTTGTTTTATTCTAATCCCTTTTCGCATCCATTCCCAGTCCCTTTCCCTCACTGCCAGACAACATCTGCACACACCTTTATGCAAAAGCATCTCACTTTACTCATAGAGCCCCTCGCTAACAATACTAGTTACATTTGCTGATGGCAACGTCTTTGCCTGGAACATCAACGCTAATGCGCAGTCCGAGCCAGACTATACGATGGTTGGCACTAGCCATAATAACTTCCGGAACTTCGATGTGTACAAGGATAATAAGCGTATCTTGTATTCTCAGAATGGGTGGGATTATAGGACTATTTATTATTGTAAGTAAGGGCGTGGAGGTCTCTAGATAGGCCTAGAATCGGAATTGTAGCCTATAGTATCAAGCTGTTACTTTTATTAATAAACCAGACTTGATTAACTTACAAGGTTGATTACGAATAATGGAATTTTCTCATACGAAAGCGCTAAGCACAAGTGATTTTCCCATTGCTAGCAAATTTCCTTCCTAAATCCCAAGATGAGGAGTGGATGCCTTTAAGGAAGTTGGAATTCTTTTTAAATATTTTCTAGTGCAATATGTTAAGATCTGTTTCTTAATATTTATGATTATTCTTTGTTACACCTAGAATTACGTGTAAATAAGTCACTTCGACTTCCGCCATTCCTCCATCTAGTTCAGGAAGTGAGGCGGCAGCTACTGGGTCTCACTGCCCCTAATGACCTCTCTAACCAATGCCAGATTGCATATTCTAATAATTCATCGTCAATCTCTGCTAAACTGAATAGCATCATAACGTCGGCGCATTTTGAAGCAGCTTAGGGTTAGGGTTACCCTAAGCTGCTTCAAAATGCGCTGAAAGTTACTTAATAAGGTAAGGGCTCTGGAATGTGCCGATTAGCCCCACAGCCCAGAGTGGATGTGCTAAGGGTCGGCAGTGGTTCTCCTCACTAAGGGGATGCAGTAGGGGCAAGAACGTAATCCTCCTGCCGTGTTGCTGTCTCACGTAGAGCTGGCGACAGGAAACTAACATTTTATAGATAGGCTCAACGATGACACCACCAACTTTCACCTATTGACGATCCGTTGATGACTTGATCAAATTTAGAGCATGGGGCATTCAGCCCCCCAGATATAGGCCTGGAGGAAACGTTTTATGACCACGGATGATATGAACCACTAAGCTATTTCTTACAGCAAAGAGGCTATTGCCAGGTTCTTTCCGCGGAGAATGGTTCGCGACAACCTCAGAATTGAAGCAACCAAGCATCATTAAGCCGATTGTTCTCCTCCCCCAGACCACCCGACACCAAAATTGCTGACTGGTCCACCACGTCTGCATCGAACCATCCTCTAGGGGAGGGTCTGCAGGACGTGCTGGGAGCTTTCGTGTCGACCTCAGACCAAGCTCCCGAAGCAATATCGTATGCCCAGACGTCCCCGAGCATCTTACCTGCCCCCTGATGTCCTAGCGAACTAGGATCACTTTCGCCAAACAGCGTCACGAGGAGAGGCTTCCCACTTGCAACGACGGGAAGGGTAGCAGCTACACTCCTTGGAGCAGGCCCTGAGATGTTATCTGCAGCGTAGTACTTCGTGGACCAAGTATTACTTTCTGGGTCGAAGATGTCGAGGCTACCACCCTGCTCTACCTTGCCATCAAACCCATTCATCCTATACAGCAAGCCCCCATAAAATGCAATAGAAGCTCCACCTCGAGCAGGACCAGGGGCATTAGCAAGCCGCGTCCATGTACAACCCGATGGCTCGAAAGACCACAGGTCTGCGAGACGCCCAGATTCCGGACAACCAGCGTGCACGAAGATCCTATCCCTGTTGTTGCTTGTGGAGCAATGGTAACTTCGAGCTGGCGGGAACGGCTTCGAGGAGTCCGACGGCAAAAGTGACGTCCACTTCATGTTCGATGGGTCCAGCATCCATACAGCACCATGCTCTTCGACAGGGGCCATGGCTTCTCCGCCACGTCCTGAGAAGAGATAGACCTTGCCATTAAGCGTAGCGGAAGCCGTACCAACGCGAGGAGATGGTGAAGCAGAAGTGCCTTTTGTCTCCAGAACTAACTGGGCGGCTAACATCGCGTGAAGTCAGCCCATCATGCCCATGAATGTGACGTGCAACATACCATGATATTTTGAGTGTAGCCTGTAAACGTGATTATCACGTGGCTGACGAGGCAATAGCTCTCCGCCGAATATGTATCCAGTTCCGCGCACGACAGACAGTACGTGTGAGGAGCGCTGCAATTCGCCGGAAGCCAGCAAGCTAGTCCAAGAGGCAGCAATCATGATGGCTGTAGATGATAGATGGGTGTCAAATGTCCTGCCGTGTAAACTCACGTCGAGACATGGGTTATATATATGTTCGTGATCTACACTAGATATATGAGAAAGGTAGCGGCGGCGACTTTTTCCTTAATAGGTTAGTACAACTTGTCAACCATTGGTCGGTCGTGTTTTCCACCCGAAAGCGCATCTTCTCTTTAACGCCGACTGTTTCTCACCTATCTGGAGTTCAAATAGAATGACAGTCAAAGAGGCGGACTTGTCAGGTACCGGCTCTGAATATGCCTATTTGTTTACGTCACATTCAAGTGTTCTCGGTTAGGTATGACGAGCATTACACGTACGCGTACAAGCTGTGAATCGTGCCGTCGACGGAGGAAAAAGGTATTCTGCTCCGACCGCTCCAAGGAGGCTAAAACAAGACCTAATTGTTATTGGTAGTGTGATGAAGGGAAACCGCGATGTGCGGCCTGTGTGCGACTTGGTATCCACTGCGAGATCAGCAGACCCGGCTTCGAATTTGTCAACGATACGACCTCGACTTTCAAAGACGAGACGCAGAACAGGCGAAGATTCCGTCGAAAGGCTCAGCCTCTTACTAGCCACCATGCGCTGGTAGACGACAGAGATAATGATGGAGGTTCTAATATTTCACAGACATCGGTCCTAGTCGCGGACAATGAAGAATATGTTGCATTTCTGCAGAGCCCACTGATCAAAGGTGGGAAAGGGTCAGAGCATGCTACCAGGTACTCGATATACAGCGCTGAAAGCCCCACCACTCGAAGACATCATGCACTGAACCTCACAAACATATCTACATCTACTGACGACTCTCCACGAGCCACACCATCAGGCGTAGTGGACGGCTCTGCGCCAGACCTCACGGCCTGGTTCTCGTGCTTCGTTGACTTTAGTCCATCTGTGGCGAGCACTGTAGCGAATGATCCGCCGACTAGGGTTGAGGTGGACGATCGATTCCACGAAATGCAGGAGGTATTATATATCCACCATTGGCACACCCATCTCCTGGAGACGCTACCTGTTCAATTCAAGCAGGTGGAGAGTCTTACTGATGGATGCACAGCATTGAGACCTGCTATCATCGCATTGTCAGCATGCGACCTAGCTCAAGCTCGAACAGATGTCAGCTCTTGGACTATCGAACACGAAAAACGATGGCTGTTCTCGCCGAATAAAGACCATCAAAATTATGGGAGGATGTACTACAACGTTGCTAAACGCGAGCTTGCGACGGCGGACTACAGCAAACAGGAACCCACTGCTGTCCTTGCTATCTTGATGCTCTTTGTATACATTGAGTCGCACATTGGGTCCTTCCGAGGCGCAGCGTTCCACCATCATGGGATCGAGCATTTGCTTTCCTCGAGGCATGACTTTTGCGACCAATCTGCCCTTACCAGGGACTTGGTAAGGTCATGGACGTCTCTGCGCGCCCAAAACTGGAAACACCGTATTCCATTCACAGTGTTGGATTTCCAAAAGAGTCTGTTAGATCTTGGTCTGAGTGTTGAGCAGCTGCTTGATCCGTCAGAGGCGCGAGATGAAGCAGTCATAGTAAACATGTTACAGTCGTGGCGCCTTAGTCTTATGGTGTTGTTCGAGCGTTACACCGGTCGTGGCGATATGGAAAGCATTAGCTCACGATGTTGTCGGGATTATTACGAGCGTATCAACCTGCTTGAAGTGACACAGCCATGGAGACCAAAAGTCCCAATCCCAGATGAGGACTACGAGGCCCTCCTCCGCGAGCAGCGAACAGAGCTTGATAGGTGGTACGCGGCACTTCCCCCATCACATCTCCCCAACGAGAGCTTCCGATCAAAGTCCAACGCCTGGGACCCCTTGCAGCTCGGCCAGCCTCCTCTGCAATTCGCCAGCCACCAAGCGGCAATGAACTACGTCTATTACGCTGCTGCACGGATCTTCCAATCCAGAGAGAACATAGAGGAATTCCTCGCGCTGCCACCTCTATCTCCACATCACTTGGCCCAACTCGACCCTCCCGGAGTCAATCACTGGCTTCTTGTTCTTCTGCGTACAATATCTAGCCTGGACCTTGGGGCTTGTGCTCGTCACAGCTCCTATTCCGTGGGCATCCTTGAGATCCTTCATATGTGCCACCTGCGCCTCCCGCGGTGCAGCCAGATTGTCCAGAGCGGCGTCCACTACATGATTACAGCGTATACTAACAACTGCATTACCCACGAAGGTTCAGGTCTCATCTTGGGCTTCCAGCACGTCTTTGAAGAGATTGAAGAGCAAAGGAATCTCGGTAGGGATTTGTTTTATATCATTCCTCGATCCTCGCCAGATAGCCAAAGGCAATTGGCCTACGATGATGCCAACCCATCTGTTGTCTACGGCCGAGATAGAGCTACTGGGAAATTTTTCTGTCAATTATTATCCCCGAGGCGCAAAGTTCATTGAATTCATGTTCTTAATTAAAGGTGGGCAGGGAGTAGAAAGCGATCGCCTCAGTTAGGCTGGCATAAGAAAGACTTTCAGTATTTCAACTTAGTCTGGAAAGACTCATTTATGCTATATCACTCCCTTCTCCCTGACGTGTCCAAATCCAACGGGTTTGGGAACCCTACGCCTGGATGTATGGGCAGCGTAACTACTGCTATTGGTAATTTCGGGTATCAAGAAGTGGGTGGCGAAATTAAATGTGTTTCCTCGACATGATAGAAGCTTCTCAGATCCACTTGGCTGCAGACCTTGCCTCAAACAACATTGACCGGATGAAGTATACCTTCGGCGGATGCAGCTACACCTGTAGGAATTTTTTACCTCGACGTCGGTGCTTTTGTCCCGATTTGGGCTAGCCATCGCTCTTTGCAACTTTTTGGGCTTAGGGAAGAGCAAGGGTCCAAGTCTGTGCCTCGCCACCGTTTCGTCCAATAACGTGAGGAGTCACTTAGTACATCCGATCTCGGTTATCTTAAGTGCCATGCATGCACGTTCCAGAGTTTCTCAATCGGGCAATCTTCAGCGCCGCAGAACTGCGTCGAAAACCAACTCTAGTCAACCTGCACTATGTGGTATCCAGAAGGCTGAATATACACGGCACGAAGTGGGCAATAGCACCGCTAGGCATCAGTGCTCTGCGTGCCGAACACCTGCCGATCGTTCAATTTCGGTCGCAGGCTGATCCGCCGAAGAGCAGATTACTAACGCATGACGCAAACGTAGTCTTCACCAGCAGCTTCCGCTTCCCGGGATCGCAAGTTTCACGTTCACGGCATACTGTATAATGCATCGACACCTCTGTCTACTCAAACATCGCCCTGGACAGAACGAATGGGCGAGAATATTGTTGTTGCGCCTTCTGGCATGGAAACCATCGGTCTTTCTACTATCAATGTAATCTCTAATGAAGCCCCAGAGACCAGACGAGACTTACAAATAATTCGCAACGAGAAAAGCAGCACAAGTAGCGCCACTGCCGACGAGCCTGCCAAGCCCAACAATAGGCCGACCATCCCAGTGGCCGCTCATCATCCACCCAGCGCTACTGACGACACATATCACAACAATGATTCTGTGCTCACAACGGGGTCCATCGACATCCAGGAGCTCTCGGAGCGACCGGTAGCCTCATCTTCTCATCCAATATCGAGACAGATTACAAGCCGGTTGTTCATCTCTCACTTCTTGTCAACATGGAACTCGCGGCTGTTCGAGATGGGCGCTGTGCTCTTCATTGCCGCCATTTTCCCCGGGACGTTACTGCCAATGTCTGTGTATGCGCTTGTGCGTAGCGCAGCCGCTGTTATGCTATCGCCCGCCTTAGGATCTTGGATTGATAAAGGCGATAGACTGAAAGTTGTCAGAGTTTCCATTGTAGGCCAACGGCTGGCAGTTGGGGCATCGTGCTGTATATTCTGGATCTTATACGAGCGGAAAGAGCTTGGAACCAAGCTGAGGGTTGGCCTCTTTGTCGTGAATATACTACTGTCATGTATAGAGAAGTTGTGTTCAGTCCTGAATCTGGTATCTGTGGAAAGGGACTGGGTTGTGGTCATTTCACGAGACGACGATACAGCTCGGCGGATACTTAACGCTCGCATGCGCCGCATCGACCTGTTTTGCAAATTGTTTGGTCCACTCGCTATCTCGTTGATTGATGGAGCATCTACAATCGTCGCTATCTTTGTTACTCTGGCGATGACTTGTACGTCAGTCCTTATCGAGTACTTTACGATTGCGGCGGTTTTCAGAATGGTCCCGGCTCTTCAACGAACGACGACTGAGAACAGCCTTACTGCTGCCGAAGACGACTCAGAGCGACTACCATCGGCGAATGAAACTAATCGAGTTTCACTGCGCGAGATTATCGACTTCGCACAGTCAGCCGCCTCTAATCTCCTTCCGCTCAACTCGATACCTTACTACTTCCAACACCCAGCATTTCTCCCTTCAATCTCCTTATCTCTGCTCTACTTTACAGTCCTCTCCTTCTCCGGCCAAATGATCACCTTTCTCCTCGCCATGGGCTATACGTCCTATGCCGTGGGTGCCGCCCGCGTGGTTAGCACCATTTTCGAACTCTCCGCAACCTGGATCGCTCCCAAAGTACAACAACACATCGGCGCTGTGCGAGGCGGTATCTGGTTTTTGACATGGCAGATGATATGGCTTGCTGGGGGACTGTCCTGGTTCTTTGCTAGTGGTGAAAGCCTCACTGGGAATAAGCTCTTCGTAGCAAGCGGGCTCGTCGGCGCCGTCATATTGAGTCGTGTGGGTTTGTGGAGTTTTGATCTTTGCGCTCAGAGCATTATACAAGAGGAGGTGGATGAGCAGAGTCGGGGCGCTTTTTCCACCGTGGAAGCATCTTTCCAGAACCTTTTTGAGCTCCTTTCGTACGTAACAACGATCATCTTTTCCAAGGCAGACCAGTTTCAGTGGCCTGCCGTCATCAGCGTCATTGCGGTATACGTCGCTGGAGGAACATATATGGTATTTGTGAGGAGAAGGCGCGGGCACTTAGTACATATGCCGAACTGTATTAAGCCGCGGCTGGAAGATAACTGCTAGTAATGAGCGTTGCCATGATTCTACGGGATAACAGCGCAAGGACGAAGCATGAACCGGAGAGTCGCGTAGCTGCTGCTGTAGAGCCGTCTCGCTGCCGTACTGACGGTCTCAGAGTGGTACAGTCGATGGTATGCACGAGTGAGTCTTGTTTGTGCTGTAGGCTTTCGTCGCTATCGAAAGATCGATCGCAGAGAGCACAACGGAAGCTCATAGTGTCAAAGTGTTCATACTACTATTGTGAAGCTTGGCGTTGGTAGTGGTCCGTATGTAGAATTGTAAAAATAATAATTCAGGTATCAGCACGAGTAGGGCCAAATTGTTCAGAAGTGAATGCATATTCTATTAATCTAGCTACTGTAACTACTCTGCCCCTGAGCTAGTCTCCGAGAGGTGGTGCCCAGTATCACCTGGTCAGTCGGGCGATACTGGCCTTGGTACCGCCCGAGCCGCTCGGGCCGCCCAGTGCCAATTATGCGCCAACCAGCCCCTATCCCGGTCATGGAATGAAAATCCCACAACTAATGTCCGTCCCTGAGTGGAGGAAAACCCACCGTGCAGGAAAATATGATAGGTACTTTGACTTTAAGCATCTCAAAATCTGTACAGTTATTAATATTCCCTATATTTTTGCATAAATCGTATTCTACAGCTACTCTTTAACACCCTAGTCTGCTGCTCCTTCTGGAAATTTATATTTGCATTATCGCCCTCACGCCTAATTGGAGGGTCTGCTTTCATAGCGAAACAGACTTCCTCTACTACAGCTCTATCATGAAGCTCTTATTATTTCTAAAACATATAAATGGATTATAGCTAAGCTCTAAGGCCTTACTACAAAGCGGGAGATCGTCATTAGCTATGCAGCTGCTATAAAGCGCAAATTCATATATAGTTGCCACGCAAATTAATACCTTAGAGTCAAAAGCGACTAACGATTTTAGTTAGTGTGTAGTGACCCTAGGTCTTACGAAGTAAATCCGCTTATGTTAGCATATTTGGTAAGGCTACTGACTGTTGCTTGTTGCTGTGGCTTGTTGCTGACGAGGCTGACTTGTACTATGTGTAGCCTTAACAAGTCAGTGAGTAAACACGGTTAACTACTTCTGTAAATCGAGTTAGGAGTGCTCTTTAATAGAGGGAGCGCGAGCAGACTCTATAGCGATACAAATTGTTCTATGGACTGTAAAAAGATGCTCACACAGAGCGCTACAAAATGCAATCGCGATTTCCAGGTTCGTCAACGGGTTTTGCGGTGCTCGGGCATATGCGAAGTTTCTAGAGTTTTATTAGACAAATTGTACGAAAACGACAGAATGATTGTAATGAAAGCTTACCGTAATCAACGTGAACAAAAGCACGACTAACGCCTTCGACCGTCTCAAGCTTGTCTTGCAATTCTTGCGAGATGTCGTGGACCTCACGAAGGCAGCGCTCAGGCGCCATGACAATATCTACCTCAACAACAAGGTCTTCACCCCAGTGATATGCGTGAATCGAGTCGACTTTCAAGATTAACTGAGAGTGGCGAATGGTAAGGAAGACAATCTCCTGTACGAAGCTAGGCGAAGCGCCAACTCCGCAAAGCTGTAGGAACTCTGAGTGGACGGTACCGACCCAGGTGATAATGATGACAAATGCGATAAGCATGGCACCGGCTGGATCAACCCACCAATTCAATTTGGCGCCAACTGCGGATGTGAAAATGGCGAAGCCATATTCAAAACAGTCGTTGCGATTGTCCTCCCAGAGCATCTCCACTTGACTACTGTGTTTCCGGAAGATGAAGCAATAGATTGCCAAAAAGAGCTTGATGCCGAACCCGCACACAGCAGCGGCAATGGCTGCCACTGAAAACTTTCCGAGCTCATGATCGTTCCCGGCCAGCGCGCGGATACTCTCGACGGTAAGAACCAATGATACGGCCATTAGGGCAAATGCGAAGCAGATGTTGCCAGCATTGCCCAACCTTCCTGCGCCTGCTGGCCATCGGGGCGAACCGCTAAGCTTCTTGGATTTCCTGTGGAGGTAATTCAGGCCGATGTTGCTCACGGCCTCACAACAACTCTCTGCCATGGTAACGAAGAGTGACAATGAAAGGGTTGTCACAGCCGCATAGATCTGTAGCGCTGCAACGAGGATCGTGCCATAAATAGAAAGGTAAATTGCGGCCCTGACGTGAAACGCCGATGTATCCTGTCGGTCGCCTAACAGTCGCGATGCAGCTGGATCCTCTGCTACTCGGACGAGACGATTGATATGCTTGTCTTGTATCGTGTGATAATAATGTGCACGGCGAGTTTTCGATGAACCAATTTAGTCCACATCGACATGCTCGGTGGGCTGACGATGGAGCGGCGTAGCTGCTCAAGCTCGACATCGTTTGCCATAACGTTTGCCTCCATGGTCTCAAATGGATCGGTGAAGAAAGAAGCTATGATATGGACATCAGGGAGAACCAAAGTTAAAGGGTTGAAATAATGAGAAGCTAAGTCACAAACACGGACAGTCAACCTGCTTGTGCGTAAATGGAGCACCTGTAAGAAGGTAGACGAGAAACAATCTGCAATGAACTGAAAAGCGTTGCGCGGCTTTTTAGCTTAGTCATACATACATCGATCAGCAGGAGAGGTTATAGCTCAGCCTTAATGCGCCACAATCCCGCCAATCGACTAATACATGAGCGAAATTAGAATATAACCTCCACCACCCCGGAATCACGATGAGCGATTTTTCGCTGGCCTCAGGCCCCAACCACCCCTGCACCCACCCTTCCGAATTAGGCCATATCTGCCACGGTCGTAACGTTAGTGCTAACTCAACTGTGGCGTTAGCGATTCTGCTTAGTAGCAGCGACTGTAGACGGCTTAACCTTTGTAAAAAGCTATAAATAGGCTCTTATATGCTTTATTATTATACCTTATCTACATAGTAATATAAAATAAGTACTAGAGTAGACAGTAGAAGCCTACTTTCTAATTTTTAGTAATCTATTACTATAGGCTTTACTATAGCAAGCTAGAGTTAGAGTGTTTCAAAAGCTTATTGCTAAGTGATATGCTTAAACCCCTTAAGCCGCCTATAGCAAACTCTCCCTATAAAGGCCTGTTAACGAGTAAGGGACTATACGTAGAAGGCTACTACGCTATGACAGAAAAGGTATACCTTTGGCTTCGGTAAGCACCCGCAATATGACATCTTACTTCCTTTGTGTGCAGAAGACTTACATTGGAATCTACAGGCGCTATTAACTTCGGTTTTTGCATTCCTGCAATCCGCAACATTGATACCCTCGGCCGCCGCACTTTACTCCTCATCACGTTGCCGTTCATGAGCATCTTTCTCCTTGGGGCAGCTTTTAGTTTCTACACCCCCGAGTCTCCGGCAGGCTATGGACTCTTTCTTTTCATGTTTGTCATACCCCATTTGAATCGTAAAGTCACCTTAGTGTGCTAGCACTCCCTGAATTAGAATTAATCGTGTCATTCAACAGGTTTCCACTATCTCACCGTGAAGTGGGTGTTGCTGTCAGCGTTGGACTCAACCTCTTCTTTGCCGCATTGTTATCTCTATTTTACCTACCGCAGGCCCGTAATTTATTTCTCTCGATTTCCCCCCTTTTGTGCTATAGGACAGCCACTGACGTAAATTTAATAGAATCAACAACCACCTCCATGACACAGGCTCGCCCTGCCTTTTTGCGGGCCTTAATCTCGTCGCCGCAGCACTCATATTTCTTTTCCTCCCTGAAACAAAACAGCGCTCCCTCGAAGAGCTTGATCTCGTCTTTGCTGTTCCTCTCAGAACATTTATGAGCCATCAGCTCTTTACGATTTTTCCGTACTGTGTGAATCGTTATATTTTGAGAAAAGAAGTTATATTAGACGATTTATATCAGGACAAGTTATGGGATCATGGGGCTGAGATTGGGCTACAAATAATTTCGAGGGCTAGTGAGGATAAGGGTTGGGATCCTACCTGCCGTACCAGGACAACAGAACAAGACAGTATCGCGCTTGCGCCAGATCAAACGAACGATGGAGTAGTTGGGGGTAGGAAAGGCAGTCGCAATATCTCACAAGGACATGACGCGCGCTCAATATCAAGCTCAGTTGGAACTTTTGATTGATCGAAGTAAATATAGACGATGAAAGCGACAACAGAGGGGAAGCTCCAAGTCAAGAACGAAGAAAACCTTATTTCGACAAAGAATATATATTTCTCTACTAATGCTTACTTAACCAAAGGCCATTTCCTTCATGAAAGGTGAAAGGCTATGAGCTCCGATGGCGTCGCGTCTTTGTTTTAATCAACTCTTAGGCCGATTGTTTTACTGACCCTGTTTCCGACATTGTTGACGTTACAGAAGCTGCATGTAGCAGAGTTAACAATGGCGGGAACAAGGCAAGCATGTTACAGCAACTTAAACATCAACAATGCCTGCTTTTCATCCTGTTTGTGATTGTGTCTTCATATTCAATAGGCATTGTACACCTTCAAAGGATATTAAACATCGGTCAACGTGTATCGTATTTTCACCATCCAAAATTATCATATCCCCTTCAATCTTCAATGGACGTTACATACCATTCAATGGATATCATACATCGTTCAAACTGCATTATATTTTATTTTATCAGTATAAATAATCCCCAAATTTCCCTCTCTTCTCATCATTCCACATCAACTCACAAGCTCAATACCTTCACTTAACTGGTTTAAGTGAGCTGTACACATCTACCAAAGCAAATCAACACACGGTAAGTTCAACGCTTGTCAGACCAAATAAACTTCACCATGAGCTCCATAAGCTTTCTCCTGACCTTCCTGCCTGTCTGGACATGGCATCAGTGGTTCCTAGCTCTTCATACCCCCTATCGCTATGGCAGACTCATCGGCAATCTCATAGGTAAGTATCTCTATCGCCCCTATCCAGTCCTTCGCGGTCCCAAATACAGCGGTAAGGACGTCACAGTTCTTATCCCCACCATAACTGATGACATGGAAGAGCTCCGGCCGCACTTCCTGAGCATCCTCGCCACGCCCATCCACCAGCTTATTCTCGTCACCACAGACAACCGCAAGGCCAAACTACTCGCCTTCACCGAAGATCTCGCTGACCCGCGCATCCAAGTTTATAGCGTCCCGATCGCTAACAAGCGCACTCAGCTGGCGGCCGTGATCCCCACCGTGCAAACCTCCATCTGCATTCTCGTCGACGACGACGTCACTTGGACCCGCACAATCCTCCCTTGGCTCCTCGCCCCCTTCGAGCATCCTCGCAATGGCTCGGTCGGCGTCGGCATGGCCGCCATCCGTATACGCTCCGGCTCGCTTTTCACACGTTGCATCAACTTTCTTGGTGCCGTCTACCTCGAGCGTCGCAACTTTGAGGGGGCCGCCACGCTAACTCTCGATGGCGGCATCTCGTGTATGTCCGGTCGCACTAACGCTCTCCGCACGTGCATCCTTCAAGATGAGGCTTTTCTCGACGCTTTCTGCAACGAGAAGTTTAATGGGGTTCCGCTTGCGACGGGAGATGACAAGATGATAACACGCTGGCTTGTCCAAAAAGGATGGGGAATGTATGTGCAGTACCATCCCAAGGCACAGCTTCTCACTACCTTAGAGAGCGGGTTCAAATTCCTGTATCAGTGCCAGCGATGGGCGGGCAGTAGCTGGCGCGGAAACTACAAGACCCTCTTCGTTGAGTCGAACCCGTGGGCTGTGTGCAAGAAGCAGCCCTGGACATTCTATGCCAAGTACATTGCTGTGTTTACTTCGATGGGGCTAATCACTGATCCTTTGACCTGGTACTGCTATTATCAGATTCGTTCACTCTTGGATCCAACTTCTATTTGGGCAGGTAACTCTGGGTGGGTCCTAATGTTCCTTCTATATCTCTTTACCAAGACCATTAAGCTCGAGGGCCTCTTCCGCGCACACCCCAAAGATCTGGGATTCCTGCCAGCCAGTATCCTATTTGGGCTCTTCCATGGATTCATCAAGATGAAAGCCTTCTGCAAAGACAAAGGCTGGCTCAGCCGGTAAATTTTGACCCGAGTGCTCGGTACGGTATTGGTAATTTCGGAGACGGTCTAGATGTACGATACTAGAAGTAAGTAGTTATTAACATGTCAATTGCATTTACATAATACCGTGCTGTTCCTGTGACCAGATATGTTTTGCCGATGAAGGCTGTGATAATTCTTCTGCCCAAAACGACACCGAACGTCATAAAAGCGGCGATCATCTGGGTCAAGAATAAGACAATGTACCAGTTTTATGGATGAAATCTAGTAGATCTTTGACGTGTGTGTGAATCTCTAAGACTACCCAGCCTCCATCAGTGCGGTTATTCTTCGGTGACGATAAACGTCTTACTGTTGGGTCGAAGTAGCCGTTGGAGCTTATCCGCTATTAACTACTGCATAGTGCACTTCTTAGCTCTTGAACATCAGTTATTAATAGGAGGCCCGTGAGAGTGCAGTCTTCGTTGTTGACGCTGGCAATTCGTTCGAAGAGACAATTAAAAACATCAAAGGCTATCGTGAAGGAGCTCGCTAAATAACGACACCAGTCTCTTTCAAGGCTTCAAGCGTGTCGTCTTCTTTCAATACATTGGTGTTGAATAAGGCGCAGGGGATACCCTGCCACAGAAATTTAGCTTTAAAGTACCACCCTGCTCGCCCCACCTGTGGACCTTTAATTGATTGCGCATCCTTTGGACTCTCAATTCTTCATCCTTCGATCCCTCGAACGTTGATCATACTGTAAATGATGGAGGGAGCGTTTGCGAAATTTAATGCCAGGCCGGTTGAAATCTACTGGAGCGGGGACGCCGACTTTGCTACGATTAGCACCGGTCATGTCACCTGCAAGAATTAAATTAGGAAGAAAGGGGCGGCGGTGCCGCTCACGCAATACTCGTACTAGACGACGATGCTTTATGGGCTGTGGAAGCGGTGGCAGAAGTTGGGAGAAGAATGAGGCAATTGTGGTGACATTACAAAGCCTTGGGAGTGAAGAATGTTATTATTAGGGGGCATATTTATTATTTTATAGATGACTAGTAATAAAGGCCGGTTTTAACTTAGGATATACTGTATGGGAGTGGCAGTTCTTTCGAGTGGGTGACTACAGTCGTGTGTTTTGAGCTCTTTGCGACATGAAGGTTGTTGCTGTGTGTAATAACTCATATATTGCGCGACGGAAGTAACTTCAATACATCAAAAACTATTAACTCATAGCATTCTCCAGTTTCTTTGAGAGTTAGCATATTAGGATTAATTAATAGCATCATTGTGAAGAAGTTCGTGAGATTTTTCGTAGACAGAAAAGTGTCTGGGCAACAACGGATTCTGCTGCTTCTGCCCACCATGCTCCTTCTATACGAGAGGAGCATACGCCATGGAAATAAAAGACAACAGGCCCACCAGGGTCTCCATAACGTGCGAGGCCATTTGTGCTTTGACGCCAAAGTGTGATAGTTTTATTTTCTCGAGGGCATAACATTTTAAACACGTGGGCAATCTCGCTCGCTCCTTAGTCACACAGTATGACTGGGTAGAGTATGAAAGATTCGTAGCAACATTAACAGCACAATATGTTTGTTGATTGATTTATACGGAGAGAGGTATTCTATCCCATAGACCTGCATAAAGTACACCGAACCCCAAATAGGCTCGCCGAGCCCCAGATTGTTAGACTAGAAAGTATGCGAATTATAAAAGCTTAATATTCGTCAGTCACTGAATCTGTCACCGTGACCATCTACATGGATCACCTATGGCCATCCAAAGTCGTGATGCATCGCGTCCAATGCATCTCTATATGAGACCCACATTTTGCGTTGTCGAGGGTCATCACATTTCGGATGTTGCTGTTGGCCGCACGCTTTAAGAGGGCCTGCACTTGTTAGCGCTGTTGGTTCATGTATCATGGATGTTGGTTTCTGCCTGGAACTTGAGGGACAGTAGTTCGTGGTGGTGTGACAAGCGTAGGAAAATATAAAGATAGGCACAGTGGCGCATTATTCTTGGAATATTACGATTTAAATATCAGAAATATATAAATTGTCACAACAACATCTTCACAGTTCTACTGCGCGCGCTGTCTCTTTAGTTTCTGACTTGGTAATACTCAGCCATGAGTTTCAGAGATGACTGGCCGCAGATGCCAGATGGTAGCGACTTTGATGGCAAACAGTTGCTCACCCTGGTCCGTAGTGGCAACAGCCCGTTCCATGGTGTTTGGGATGTGAATCTTCTCATACAAGAGATTGAAGAGAACCTCAACACCCGGGTGGTTGATATCCCAGAGTTATACAATGGATCTAATAACTACGTGAGTACACGTATCTAACCTTCAAACAAAATAAAATTTGAACCAAGTGACACACAGGGATTCCATTTCAAGTTATCGAATCGGCCATATGTAATTGCTCGATTAGCCCGCGGCGATGTCAATATGCCCGACTTTGACGGATTTCCAATCCATAAGCAAATTCCCGAAGCAAAGTTTGAGGTGGCAGCTTATGAGCTCTTGCGATCTGAGCCCCAAATTTTGGCATCCCACCTACTTTACCACCGAATCCCCGTTCAGCATGCTAGTCCTAGAATTAGTACCCCTCATGATATACTCGGCCGCCGTTTATTCGTGTTTGAAAGAACAGAGGGAGAGAACAACGTATTTAAAGGACTCAGCCCCAAAGAAAAGGTGCCTGTTAAATCTCCATTATGTACTTCATTGACCCTTTTAAATTGTCGCTTCTAATCTTCTCCAAGGTCCAACTTCTTACTCAGTCAGCACGGATCCGTGCGTCACTTTTCAATTTCAACCTCCCCCTCAACTTTGCTGCCGATTGGTTCCTGATATGCCTCTTTGAACACAAGCCCGGATCGTTGCCTATTCCTGTCGCCCCACACGGGAGTTCTGTGTTGCCCTTTTTATGTCCAAGATCGAGGCGACAATTGGGAAGATAGATGACATGATTGGGTGGGAATCGGACGACGTAACCGTGGGCCCTATAGCTGCTACAGCCAAGCAGTCACTTTTGCGTCTAATTCCACATATATTACCAGAAGAAGATAACGGGTCGGGTGATAGGCCTTCTCTCTATCGTCTTGTTTTAGAACATGGCGATTTCGGTATTCACAACATGTCTATTGTGGTAGAAGCAAACGATCGACCTCTCGTGACGTCCTTATATGACTGGGAGACTGGATGTATAGTGCCGGCAATTTTGTCAGATCCGTCGATGGCAGTCAGTCCGGTAGACCTAGTTATCGAGGAAAATGCCGCCCCTTCGTTTGATAACGAGCCTGACGATACAACAGTGGAGGAGGGCCTGAAGTATACAGCATGGGCGACGGAATATGCTAAGGTACCCACTCTTAGCCGCTCAATGGATATTTTGGCACATTTGCAAAAAGCTAATGATTCTCCCCGTAGGTTCTCTTCGAGCGCGCGCCGGACTATGAGTGTGCAATCAAAGCAGGGAAAGATGCACGACACCTTTGGTTTGCATTGCGGGATTGGCGAGGTCAGGACCCGGAAGGATATTTCGGCCGCTTGGGGGATTGGGCAGAGGCCCGGGCTAAAGACCTAAGAGTTGACTGATGGTCAAAATAAACCTTAGTTATCCATTAAATGAATAGTTCTTTCAGCCTCAGCCATAATCTCATCTATATCGGTCGGGAGTGTGATAACAGTGTCGGGGAGAGACGCAGACCATAGTTCGGCGACTTGGTTTAGGCCTACTTCAACCTCAATCATAGTCCGTTTGAAGTCCCTTTCAAGTCCTTTCAAGTCCCTTCAAGGCGCTGGTTAGTAAGTACGGGATTTAATGAAGTTTTGACGCGAGAGAGGGAACAATGAAGGCAGGGACGGGCCAGCCCCACTTATTCGCCGCCCCTCTATGATTTGATCACATGATTGCGCGTCTCATACGTAAACTTTAAACCAACGAACGCGCCAAATCAACCGCGACGAATAACTTCATGGCTGACCGCCTCGGCCACATCGACACCTACTTCACTCCAAGCTCAACGTCTTACCATCTCTCGAACACGCCTTCGCTTTGCAGATGGAAAGCATACGAGATGTGTGCAGCCACATGTCCCCATGACTTTACATAATCTCGACAGTCATATATCTTGGTTGTTACAAAGCAAGCCCACGGTTGTTTCTTGCGGCGCCCTGGTCCATCGCTCCATAGCAACAGCAGCCACATTACAGAAAAGGAGCCCTGATGTCTCTGTTGAGGATACCAATACCACGCATTTAGAAAGACAACGACTACGTTTCGATCCCCAGCTGGAAGCGGATAACTCAACAAGGCTAGGGTACACCAACCCATCGTCAGACATCAACCAAGCGGGCCCTCCTAGGGAAACTGTGCGGAAGGCAGAAGAAAGTAATATGGCAAGGCTGGCCTCTGCATCGCGTTCGTCCCGGCCAAAACTTCTGCACAATCAGCAAACTCCCGTGGGGGCTCCAGGTACCACAACACCTTCCTCAATTGCAGCCGCATACGCCGCCTCATTCCATAAAGACGGTGTGTGATGGGTTCAATCTCTTCTTAGTTTTGTTTTCTGACAATGCGCAGGTACATCGGCAGGTACACCTTCGAGGCAGCCAACGTCGGCCTTTCCAAAAATTTCCCACGCGCCACAAACCCCGCGGCAGACGCCAGGACAACTACCCAGGCAGCAACCACAATTTTCGTCTGCGAGCTATGCCAATATCGAGCCCGTGGATCTTACTGGCGATGAAGAGGTTGTTAGGAGCTCGTCGCTGGAAGAATTTGGCGAGCCTCAGTCGCTATGGCGTGAAGACTATGCTGCCAAGGCCTCGCCCAGGCGAGGAACGAAGAGAAAAAGTGATGAAATGACCAGGGAAAGACCGAGGAAGGAGTTGATGACGACAAGCTCCCAGAAAGAAAATCGCCGACCAGCGCGCCTTTCGGAAGAATTTATTGACATCGACACACTCCTCGAGCCTGATGAGCCGCCGCCACCATACTCCACGGTCGATTCGAAGACCCGAAACCAAAAAAGAACTAACCAACCGATCAAACCAAGTGTGGAGGCGGCAAACTCGGGGCCTGAATTCGAAGAGCAGTATCATGTTGTTGAAACGGTGAGTCGGACAGAAACCCGCACACGCAGGGCACTGAGCCGAGTGGCATCGCACGACACTCCTGGCAATGCTAGTGAAAACAAGCGTTCATTGTGTGCGATGGCGAGCCCGACGTTTCAAAATGTGACCAACGCCGGAATTGTTGGTGGTTTGAAGAAAGAAAATTCTCCGTTTAAACAGTTGACGGACCGATCTATTTCTCCCTCTGTAAAAACAGCTCGGAATAATCAGATTCTTCCGAAAGATCGTATCATAGAAGACTCCGAGGACGACGACCTCATTTCCCAAGCCGAATGGGCGGATGCACATATTCCCGAACCCATGAAGGTTGACAGTCCCGTTCGGAGGACCGTTTTCAAATCGCCATCAAAGGAACGGAGCGCAGAACACAAGTCGCTCGGCCATTTAGAAAACGAGCCGCCGTTGTTTGGTACAGATGCGTCCCGGAACGGGCCAGTTAAGTCGGCTGCTGTCGGCAATGTCAAGCAAGAGAGTTTTCCGTCTCCCTTCCAGCGAGATTCGCCAACCAGGTTGGCCACTTCTCAAACAATTCCCAAGCAAAGCGCCGCCTCGAGCCAGCAAATTCCGTCATCATCATCGCCAGAAGAAGATAAAAGGCTTTTCGGCATCTTCCTGGACAAGCCGTCTCATATACAGCAACTTTTGTCCCTACTGAATGAGAAGCTCCAGGAAAACCGTAGGGTTATGTGCGAATACTTTGACGCCGGCGAAATAGCGCCTGGGCATATGAAACTTGAGCGAGAGAAGCTGGCAAAACAAAGAAACGCGGCCACGGACCTGCTTCCACTGTATGAAGAGCACGCCAAGTTAAGCAACCAGAAGGAAAAAACCAAGGCCGATTATTTCGCGTATTTAGAGACCTCCCGCGATGTTGGGGGATTTGAAAACGAGATTCCACTCATCACACACAATATCAACAAAATTGAGACTCGAATAGCATCGCTAATTCGAGCATGTGGAGTTACAGCAAATGACCTCTCGGCAATTGGAGGGTTGACGAATGGCAGCAAGCAGGCACAACTTCAACGGCACACAGATAAGGGCAAAGAATCAACAGAATTGCTCGGATCCAGGACACCGTCTAGCATATATTGCGATTCTCAAATAGTCCACCAGACCCAGATGCCTTCCAATGGGACACAGCCGACAACAAACCAAAAACCAACCGCCGTCAAAGAGTACCATCCTGTAAACGGTGGCTCTTCATCCACATTCCAAGCCAATATGAGTACAGAATTTCGGCGCAACGCCCAGAATTCCCACCAATCCGATAGGATGGACTATCAACCGTCGATGATGCAAAGTGCTCCCGGTCGTTTCGATTGCCCAGAAGATTATGAAGATGAAGATGAAATGCTCGGCAACTTTGATCCCATTACTCGGAATATGGATGAAGAAGATTATGGCGCCTCTGATGATGACGATGACATGATTGAGTTTGCAGAGTCTTGGGATCGAGGTGAGGCTAGTTCGGGTCGTGTTGCGGCTGACACTCACGAACTTTCCATGCCTCCGCCCTCAACGCCTTCAGCTTCTAGAAGGCCAAAGTTAGACAGCAGCAAAGATATGTCTCTGCCTGTTGATGCCGGGTCAGCTGCCCTTATGAGACATAAATGGTCAGGCGAAGTCAAACAAAAGTTAACGGCGCGATTCCACCTCAGGGGCTTCAGACAAAATCAACTTGAAGCTATAAATGCTACGTTGGGAGGTAAGGATACGTTTGTTCTGATGCCAACTGGAGGCGGCAAATCATTGTGCTATCAACTTCCAGCAATTATCCGCTCAGGCACAACACAAGGTGTCACTATTGTCATCTCTCCTCTTCTGAGTCTGATGCAGGATCAAGTGGATCATCTCCAGAAACTTGGCATCCAGGCTTTTGTGATCAATAGCGAAGTGACACAAAGCTACAAAAATATGGTAATGTCGGGACTCGAAGAACGCATCCCGGAGGACTTTGTTGAACTTCTCTATGTCACACCTGAAATGGTAACTAAAAGCGAAGCGATACTGAGCAAGTTTGCGTCTCTCCACCGTAGGCACAAACTTGCTCGCATTGTAATCGACGAAGCTCATTGTGTGAGCCAGTGGGGACACGACTTCCGACCAGATTATAAAGAGCTCGGGGAGGTTCGAGCTAGATTTCCAGGCGTCCCGATCATGGCCCTCACAGCAACAGCGACAGAAAACGTCAAAGTCGATGTTATTCATAATCTTTCGATGGAAGGTTGTGAACAGTATTCACAGAGCTTCAACCGTCCCAATTTGACGTATGAGGTGAGGCCCAAGCCTAAACACGAAGAGTTGATGGAAAGTATAGTGGATATCATCACAAAGAAATATAAAGGGCAAACGGGTATCATTTATGCTCTTTCTCGCAAAAATTGCGAGAAGGTTGCCGATGAACTTTCCTCACGTTATAAGATCAAAGCATGTCACTACCATGCTGCTTTGAAACCAATAGAGAAGAAGCGAGTGCAGCAGGATTGGCAGGCAGGAAAGTGGCAGGTCATAGTTGCTACTATTGCGTTTGGTATGGGAATCGACAAAGCCAACGTTCGGTTTGTAATACACCATACAATCCCGAAAAGCCTGGAGGGTTATTATCAGGAAACTGGCCGCGCTGGTAGGGACGGAAAACTCTCCGGGTGTTATCTATTTTACGGCTACCAGGACACAACCGTCCTTCGGAAATTCATTGAAGATGGCGACGGAAGTCCCGAGCAAAAGGAGAGGCAGCGATCAATGCTGAATCGAATGTCCCAATTTTGTGAGAACAGAGTGGATTGCCGCAGAGTAGAAGTTCTTGCCTACTTTGGCGAACGATTTCAGAAGGAGGATTGCAATGGCACTTGCGATAACTGCAACTCCACCAGTGTTTACGAGGCTGTTGATCGCTCAAAGGAGACTCGAATTGCTTTGAGTATTGTCCGACAGCTTCATACTGAAAACCTTACTCTGGTCAATTACGCCGACATCATGCGTGGCAACCGTGCGAACAAGTCTGCTAAAATCGTCTCTTTGAATCTTGACAAAATGAGCCTCTTTGGTCAAGTGAAGCATCTACACAAAAACGAAGTTGAGTCCCTGCTATATCGTCTTGTCAGCGAGAATGCCCTCAAAGAAGTGAACCAAATCAACAGAGCCGGGTTTGCCACTGCATACTTGAAAGTAAGTTCCCATTATACCTTATGTTACCTAGCTAATCATGCAGCTCGGGAAATCATTCCAAGATTTCTTCACTGGCCGCAGGAAGATTAAAGTGTCTGTTAGGGTTTCATCTCCAGGTGCAGCTAAGGCAATCCGCCCCAATAAAGCCTCCCAAGCTAGAAGCGAATTCACTGGCGTTGCAGCTGCGCGAGGCGGACAGCACCATCCTCAGTCAACGAACGTATCTTCTCCTGTCTCTATGGCCGCTAACAGACGCAAGGGCAAGAATCCTTATATTGATGATGAGGCTGAAGAGGACGAGGAAGAGGAGGAAGAATCTGACAACTATGGATTTGAGGATGGATTTATTGTTCCCGATGACCACGTATCTACCGATGATGAGGAGGACGATGACTTCGAGCCTGTTCGTCAAGGCAAGAAGCCTGCGCTATTCCAAAGATCCAAACGAGATGTCGGACCCCGCATCACGAATGATGTTATGATGACCGAAGCAAACCTCTCGGATCTTCATAAGCATGTCATCAACAACTTTATCATCGAGGCGAAGAAGCTAGACGAAGAAATCCGCAACAGTAGAGGGATCAGAAAGCCAATCTTCACCGAAACCCAGCTACGAGTGATGTGCATCAACTGGATGTTGGAGCTGAAAGACATCAAACGTATAGAAGGCGTCAACCAAGAGCAAGTAGAAAAATTTGGATCCAGATTCGTGGCGCTAATCCGACGCTTCCACACCGAATACGACGCAATGATGCGACATAATGAGGACCGAGATATAGACCAAAACCACAGAAATGTCATTGACCTCGTCAGCGACAATGACGACGACGAGTTTAACGACAACGATGACGACGAAGAGGCCGACGAAGAGGAGATCTCACAGGGCGAGACGAGCCAGTGGTTCCAGAACCACCAGATTAACTCAGCAACTCAAGCTTTCAACCAGCGCCTTGCAGCGACCATGCCTCCACCAGAAGAGGACGAGGAGGTCTCGGATGGTGAACCAATCAGGCCCGCTATGACCCAGGCACCGACGAGGGGAAGGGGAGGTAAGGCCCGCGGAGGGTCGCGGAAACCCTACGCACGTAGGGCATCAGGTGGAAGCACTGGAGGTGCAGCCAAAGCGCCGAGGGCGAGGGCAGGAGGCTCAAGGAAGAGGAGTAGTGGTGCTGGAAATGGCGCTGCGGGGCCGAGTAAGAGAGCTGCGCCGAAAGCGCCCAGTAGAGGACTGCCTGTCGAGAGACGTGGGGGTGGTACTGCTACTGTAATGAGTAATTTTGTGCAGAGGGACGGTGGTGGAGGATCTTGGCAAAGGGCTGGTCAGGGAAGCGGCGGGCTGCCTGGGATTGGGATGATGCCTACTAGATAATGTTGGCGTTTAGCGTTGTAGGTTTGTTGCTCTATAGCTTGTGTTGGAAAAACAATATAGAATCTTACAAGTTTGACCATCTTCTTGTACCATGCAAAGACATTTCATAGGGGTGTGTTACAGATGGGAGACTATTAATTGGATGTAGTAGGATGCCAACGACCGTCGCCAACTCCCCACTCAACCCCCCACCGCCCTCCCCGATAAACTCCTCTCCCCCAACCCGCCGCCATCAGCTATCCCTCACAACCCCGTCTCCGGTCCACCCTCCAACACCGTCTTCCTCCCCGCCAACACCTTCAAATTAGCAGCCACAGGCCCAGCCAGCTGCCTGCCCAGCATAATCTGCAACACGCTCTTGCGCAACGTAAACTTGCGCCACTGGCGGACAGCGCGTTGAGCCCCAGACTTAACCTTCTTGTAACGCAATGTCTTCCGCGGATCGGGTTCTTCTGGGCTAGGTATGTGCTCGTAAGGCTGACCAGGAACGGGGGAGATAGCGGTTAGCGAGAGGCGGGTTAGCGGGGTGTGTTTCTTGGGCTTTAAAGAGGAGAATTTGGAGGGTTTGTGGTGTTTGGGTTTAGGGGTTGAGCCGGGGGCGTCTCGGGGCTCGGTGGGGATGTCGGTGGGTTCTGCGAAGACAGGGAGAGCGAAGGAAGTTTCTGGTTCGGTGGTTGTGAGGGGGGAGATCTCTCCTGAGAGTGGTCCGGCGAGACTGCTTTTCATGGAGGTATCGGATTTCTTCCGCCCGAGAGAGATCCTTCTTCTTGTCGGTTGCGTGCTGCTGTGTACGACTGATGAGAATCTCAGCTTTTTTGTTGTCGCTGGTTTGGGTAGTTCGTCGGATTTGGTTCTCCCTCGTAATCTTGGAAGGGTTGATTTTGATCTGGTCGGCTGGTTCGGAGTGTCGGTGCTTTTCTTTGGTATGAAATTGAAGGACGGCTTCGGAATAGCCAGGGGGAATTGTCTGGGTTTTTTCTTTGGTGGTAATGCAACTGGAGTGCTTATGCTGGGCTTCAAATAAGAAGCGCCATCTCCGGAGGCAGAGAGTCCCGGATCTTCAAAGGCAATGGGGCCATCTTGCCAACTTGGACGCAGTGCTGAATGGCTGGGTATGTCTGAAGCGTCGTGGTATGTTCCTGCCGATGTTGTCTCCTCTTCTAGGTCGCTATGTGGCTCGACAGAAAGCTGATCTGATGCCATTGTAGCTGGCGCAGGAAGAGAAACTTCAGTGTCTATTATCCCAGTTCGAGTAGGTTCGCCAGCATGAATTTCCTGGTTGTGTTGCATCCAAGATACCAAGTAATCGGGCAGTAGTTCTGCAGAGGGATGATCAAGGATGTCTAGGTGAACCTGGGGAGCTGCTTGCTGGCTTGTAGTGCCACTTCTCCATCCAAGCTTCTCCTCTGCATATATGGCTCGAATAAGACCATTCGGATCAGGGAGAGTAGCATCTCCCACAGCAGGCTGATTAATCCAACGACGAGGTGGGTTACATTGACGAGGAATAGTCTCCTGTAATATGCCGCCGTTGTCATTTGGACCTGAGCGGCTGATATTTTCCCAGGTGCTAGATATAGGGCTATCCTCTGGAAATAAGTCACTCGGCTCTCGCTGGGCAGATGAGCGAGGTTGTGATGGGGTTCTAGGATTGCGAGATCGAGGCGGAATCCAACGCATATTATGATATCGGTGGGCGTTTGGGAGATTTTAGGGCAGTTGAGATGTAAAGAGAGAATAAACAGGTACGGAGAGCATTTTGATATATGAAATATAGAGCTTACCATGTTGCCTTACCTTGTTCGAGAGAATTTTTCTTGTTCCTGTGTTCCTTCCATATTTATGATAAAAGGTTGAAAGGAGAAGTAGTAAGCGTGCACTTTAGCAGGTACAACGCGAGGGCGCGTCTGTCCAGCCGTGCACGGACCAACGGCTTTTGAATTTCAGGACAACCTGCCACTTGCTGGGTTGACTTCACCACCAACAACCACCAACGACGACGCAGAGTCGTTGAAACCAACCACGAACCATGGCGACCACCGTGGATCAGAAGCTTTTGAAAGCGACAAAGTTTCCTCCAGAGTTCAATCAGAAGGTGGACATGCAGAAGGTTAACCTCGAGGTTATGAGAAAGTATGCCTCTACAGCCATTACCACCTCACTCCAGTCGATAAGCTAACCTCTCTTCCTTCAGATGGATCGCAGGCAAGATTTCGGATATCCTTGGAAACGAAGATGATGTGGTTATAGAGCTATGCTTCAACTTGATTGAAGGGTCTCGTTATGTATGTCTCTCCTACAACACTGCCCGCCGCTGGTCTCGTGCCTCGCTCGATCTAACATTTGTTCCAGCCCGAAATTAAGAAACTACAAATCCAACTGACAGGCTTCCTGGAAAAAGATACTCCCGCCTTCTGTAAAGAGTTATGGAAGCTATGTCTAAGTGCACAGAATAGCCCTCAAGGTGTTCCAAAGGAGCTACTCGAGGCCAAGAAGCTGGAGCTCATCCAGGAAAAGGTATATCTGACATTGTCCTATCATCTCATGTTGATCTCCCGCTGACAGAAATACACCAGGTCGAAGCTGAGAAAGCTGCTGAAGAATCAAGACGGAGGCGCGAAATCGATAGCCAACGTGAGCGAGACATGGACTCAATCCGAAACCGTGAACGAGATGAGCGTGGAAGGGGCGGGTATGGGATGCGTAACGACAATTGGCGCCGCGGGCGCGGAGATCGTGACTTTGGACGTGGTGGAGACAATAATCGAGGAGGACATCGAAGGTCTCGCTCACCTGGTCAATGGCGCGCCCCACCCAGAGACACAGACTCATACGTTCCACGAGGAGGCGGTCGGAGGAGGGACGATAACTGGCGAAGGTCCCCATCACCGGCATTGGACAAACGACCCGTATCTGCGTCACCTTCCCGCTCCCCTCCCCGCCGACGTCGGCACTCAACAAGCCCATCCGCCTCCCCGCCTCGTCGCCGAAACCGCTCAATAAGCAGATCGCCATCCCCAAATCGACGCGGAGACAACTACCGCGGCCGTGGTGGGAGAGGTAGTCGACGCAGCCCAGATCGTCGCCGCCGAAGGTCATACTCGTCATCCGACTCTCGATCCCCATCCCCAGCACCGCGGAAACGCAGGAGATCGCCATCACCCTCAAAAAGCCGCTCTCCTCCACCCAAGTCTCGCCGAAGACGCCGAGACAGCAGCAGCTCCCGCTCCCGTTCCCGTTCTCGTAACCGCTCCGTTTCACGGTCACCCATCCGAGGCAAGTCGCCGATGCGAAAACAAGTCTCCGTAACCCCAGCGAGAGATCTAATTAAACCGAAACCTACTTCAAGTCGTAAGGGCCGTGACCGTGACGAGCACCGGCTAACTCGCAGTCATAGCCGAGACGAACACAGCTTAACGCCACCTCCTCGACAACGCCAGAGTACTAACAGAAGCCGATCAAGAAGCCACAGCCGGAGCAGGAGTAGAGCCAGGAGCCCGAGGAGGGAGAGGAAGAGAAGGGGTTCTATTGAACGATATGCGCCGCGGAGACACCACACCTCTTCCATCTCACCCCCTAATACCAAAAGAATCAAAAGGGCTGATATTGAGGAAGATGATCGACGACGATCGCCATCACCTGTTCAAAGCCCTCGTGGCAGGACGAGAACCAGAAGCATCAGCAGACCCCACAGCCCAGCAAAGGATGATGCGGAGATGACGGGAACAAAGGACCAAGAGGTTGGTAGTGCCCGATCATAAAGTCGCCGGCTTAGATGGACTGGCCTTGGCTGACCCCTGCGCGTGATGACAGGCCAGTGCCGACCAGCCAGTGTCACAGCAAGACCCACGGAAAGAAGCAAGTGCGTTGCGGGAGAAACTGTTGAGGGAAAAGATCAAAAAGATGAGAACGTTAAGTATCAGCTCCAATAAGGCGGAATAGCCCGAAGAAGATGTTTCTGGGGAGCCATAGCAAGCGTCTCGCTGATTTATGTTAATCAGCACAGCGGTTTACTGAGCTAGTTAGCACTGGATGGAAATGGGGAAATTTTGCTGCTCTCGCAGATGAGTCTACCTTACATTTTGCTGTGATACGTTTGACCTTACCATTCTAGTTACTCGGGCTATATGACAGAACACAACCCCTTCACATCTCGTGCCGAACTACAGGACATCATGCCACACCCCTCTCATGCTCCATTCCTGTGTTTGTTTGGCCTTGCAGTTCCCCAAGCATCCCCCTCAGGACTACCACGGTAAAGACGGGGGGCTTGCTATGAAATTGCACACTGTGAATATATATAAATCTCGATGTCAGGCTACAAATGAAAATGTGGTTATGAATTATATTTGGCTATTTTGCCGCTTCAATAGAAGGTGGTTAAGTCTAAATTGTAAGCCAGGCACAACCCGGCTGATCTAATAATCTAGACTAGTTTTGGCTGGACAAACTCAAAATGGAGGCAGTAGCCGATCGCCTTGCCTTTACGAGTGTCAGATCATCTTTCTTTAAATCTAATAGATCTTATCTTCATTACATCTTCGCAGCTTCTTTGGCGATCTCTTCTCTAGTCAAGCCTGGCGTTCCATTCTTCTTCTCGCCCATGCGACCCATCTTGAAAAGGGTCTCCATCAATTGCTCATCACCGTAATGATCATTATGCTGTGAAACGATATTAGTAATATGATCGAGCTCATACTGCGATATAACTTGCCTCAAATTCCGGGTTTTCACCGTACGCTACTCTCGCAACATCGACCAAGATCCTCGCCGTCATACCCCACACCTTGTATCTCTCCATGCCAGCCTCCTCTTCTTCCTCTAGCTGCTCGGCAATGGCCTTAAGCCCACCTTCTCTTTCTTTCGGTTTAGTGACTTTCTGGTTGTTGATGGGGACATAGAAGTTGTGCACGCGCCAGCGATAGCCATCATGCCAGTCGACCCAGCTGCCCTCGTACCAATCGTTCTTGCTTCCCGGCACCTTCTCACCTTCTGGAACCTCATCCTCAAGCCTGAGGAAGTTATGGAAAGGTGCCGAAAAGACGGCAGCTACCTCCTTCGCATCGAGAGTAGGTATCATAGCCTCTTCCGCGGTCTCTCCGTTTGCGCCATCGGCGTGCAAGAATGCTACGCAGGGACTCACCGCAAGCTCCGTCTTAGCCAGATTAAATGGGAGTTGGCAGAGATGCTCTATCCTGATCGACTTTGGGAATTTTGAGTCATCCATCGGCAACCCGATCTCCTCGAACGCCTCTCGGCGTGCAATCTCGAACGGTGTTTCTTCAAGGGTATCAGCCTTGCCGCCCGGTAAGGCCGCATGGCCAGAGTAGTTACGGAGGGAGGCAGCTCGCATAGTAACGACGACCCGGAGGTCTCCGCGGCGGTCGGCAAAAAGGAGGAGGAGGACGGCGGCACGGCGGGAGACGGGGAGGTTGTTCCATATGGGAAATGGCGGTGGGACATAGGCTCGTAGCCTCGCAAGAGCTGCCTTTGAGCCGGTCAGCATGTTCGGAGTAGGCATCCCGCATTCAGAAAGTGTTGAGCTGGAATGGACTAACTGCGGCGGCTGGGGAAGCAGGGGCCATGGCTGAGTGATCAAAGACGCTGGAGCCGTAGGGCAGTAGTATGTCGGAGCTGGAGGCGGTCTTGATGCTCTCGATAAGCTCTGTTACATCATCTGTGTCTAATAATGGGGTATCGGTTTGCGTGCTCTCGTCAACATTGATGTTGGGTTCGGCTTCCAGGGTACTCATGTTGGTCGTAATATGGGTAGGTCGATCGGATGGGAAGGCTTATAATTCGTAGCTAGGGATGCGGCCTCGGCCTTAACTGTACCTACCTCGGAAACCCCCTCCCGCGGGGTTCGTAGTGGTGGATAACATGGGATTCTTGGCAAGGCTGAGAACTGATAACAGCCTCGTCAACCCTCTTGTCCTCCCCAACAAAATCCAATTGCTTCCTTTCATCTCCTCCTCATCGTCTATGTCTATACCCTTCATCTCGGCCGCATTCGCGTTTTCATTAGTACGACACTCGTGTTGCCGTGTTTCCAGGCGCCATGTCATCAAACATTGCATTGCATTGCACTTGCTGTTTGTTAGCCCGGTAAGGAGTTTCTTTATGTGACACCACAAACAAGGTCTTGAAATCACCTTGCGTCGTTTCCGGCCAGAGAGCCGTTTTGCTTTCTGTCGCTGCAATTGCTATAAGTGTATACGGACCCATTCTCGGCCATCAGTTTGCCTGACTGAGTCATGTGAGCTTCTTTGTTCTTGTTGTTGTGGGCAGTGTCTTCTTTCCTTATTCTAGCGTAAGTCTTGTCTCATGTCAATCGCTTTCTGTCTCGCCCAAGTCATCAACAACGCGACATGCTTTGGATCTTGGGATCTTCCTGAATTCTTTCTTCCTTGATCATATATGATGGACGACCCACGCTCAAACCTAAGGATGCATGATATCGCGTCGCATTTGCCTCTGATGGGAGGTCTTGAGATTGGACTTCCACCAGAACAGCAGCCCTATATGGAGCGAATTCCACCCTACTTCGTCAACAAAGAGCTGCCGCCTATTCCCAAGTTCGCGCCCGAACCTGTGTTATTACCACCTCCGACATTAGCACCTCCAATCCCTCCTTACAACCCATTGCGCTTCTCACGAGTCCGTTCAAATGGGTTTCCGATACGAGATACAGTGCTATCCCCGCCCCTTGGTTCCACATCGTCAGAAATCTCGCTGTCTAGAGTGCCGTCTTTGTCGCATTCGCGACATGTAAAGTCACCAAAAACACTACGACTGCTTGGCTCGCCAACCTTGAGCATCAAGACTCCTACACACGGCGAGACAGACAAGGTGCGCCAGCTGACGGGTTACGATCTCGCATCACCAGTTGAACGCCGTCACGACCGTAAACCATCTACGGACTCTGCATCAACATCATCGAGCTGCTACAGCGACCCCGAAATCCACCTGCGCAGTGGTCGCGAAAGCCAAGGCCCTGGAGGATATATCGGCCTCCATCACTCACCCAATGTAGAGCGGCACTACACCCACAACAAAACTTACAGCGCCTCAGCCCCAGGGACCCAAAGACGCGTCTCAAAGAGGTATAGCAAAATCACCCTCGACGACCTACTTCAGCGCCAATGCGCGCGCTTCCAACACGATACCCTCTCCCCAACAAGCTCTCGCGTCCACTCTCCCAATTACTCTACAGCGCAATCTCTAAACTCCACCCCGGAAACGCCTCCCTTCTCAGACGCACCACACGCTTCTGAATTCACGCTTCCCCTTCGAATCCGCCCTTCTCAAAGCAACGAGGAACCAGCCAGCAGATTCAGCGATGCCTCAACGCCACCTGTCTCTCCTACGACGCGTTTCTCGGCCGGTATACGCGATAGCGTGCTATCGATCGCGGCGCACGCGCCGTTTGGGCACACGCGTGCTGTGTCGCGACTCTTGGAGAGGCGGGGAGATAAGAATGCTAGCGAAGAGCTCTTCATCGCAGAGGAGAGTTCTGGGAGCGAAGATGAAGCGATGATGGGGGGGACTCTTCAGAAATTGGTGGGGAGGAAGAGAGATGCTGATTACGATGCTGGGATAGAGGGGAGCGGGAAAAGGTGGAGGGGTGGAGGGTTAATGAGGAAGATTAGTGATGCAGTGTTTCCTAGGCGCCCGATCCACAGTCCCAAGAGTGATGAGAAGAGTGGCAGTGGGTTGGGGATTGTGATTCCGGATCATCGACGCAAGGTTGATGGACCGGATACTCCTATGCCGGCAATTGGGAATGGGAAAGGATGGGTTGAAGGTATTTTATCTAGGGAGGCGTCGATGAGGCGGCGGCAGTCTGTTCGGGGGGCTATTGGGAGGGCGGCGGAGAGTCGGTGGGTTGTGGGTGGGGATGAGAGGAGGGAGAGGAGAAGGGAGAGATTGAAAGGTCAGATTAAGGTTATTGGGTTAATGGAGGTGCAAGAAGATGAGGAGATGGCAGAGCTAAGAATCTAGTGAATAAGTATAATATAATGTGGAAGGGGTAGTTAGATAGTATCAGATGTACAAAGTCCGCAACATATAGAATGATTTACGCTAATACACGTTCATAACTCATACATTCGTGGACACATTTCTCAGTCCTCGTATGACCAATAATAACACAAGTATACCCCGCCCCAACCCCGCCCAACAGCTCAATCTCCAACCTACATACCGCCTTTCAGCCCAAACCTCTCCTCCACTCCCTCCACCAGCCTCCTTGCCTCCTCCAACACCTCCGTGCCACCCCCCTCTCCCGCCAACTTCCTCATCGCGTCAAAACACCTCAACAGCATCCTCGCGCGCCTCATATCCGGATCCTCATCCTCCCCATCCTCCGCCGCGAACGCGCCCCAGCTACCACTGCGCGAGCCCGACGGTCCAGCTAATGCCTTCCTCGAAGCCACAGGCGAAGCTGGTGTCCCAGCTAACGGTTTCCTCGTAGACTCCGGCGACCCCAGCGCTGCAGAAGTAGTCGAGCCCGACACGGAGCGTCGCGACGCAGCGGCTTTTGCGCGCGCGATGGCGGGCGCGTCGGGGATGGAGAGGCTGCGCGAGGCGCGGCGGTCGGTGGGGGTGGGGATGGGGGCGAGGCAGGAGATCATGTGGAGGGCTGCTGCTGGGTCCTTGGGGGCGTTAGTGGGGTAATTTTCGGGGGGGGAGGAGGGAGAAGACGGACTGCTACGAAGAGGTCGCTGAGGTCGGCGAGGACGTGGGCTGTTTGGAGGGGTTCTGGTGGGCTGGTGGTTGCCATTGTGGGTGGTTGGCGGGTGTGTTGGAGTTGGGGTTGTTGTTCTGGTTTCGCGATCGTTGAGAAGAATGCGCGATTATGTCAAGGAGATATCAGTCGTTGAAGAATATTTCAGATTTCACAATTGCAACTCCAGTCTTTCAAGGTTACAGCGGGCGTCATGGGGAAAGAAGTGCCGTGTCCGCGCCCCGCATTCCACGTTCCTGCTTGTCATCGGAGCGGACTTCATTCCGCCGAAGCTCCATTGGCATCAATGCTCCACAGCCGAATATATAGTGTGACTGTCCCCTCTTCGCCCTACACAATCCCCAAGCCCACACCACAGGAAAAAGGCATTGAGATAGTACAGCATGTCATTAATCTTCAAGCGCGGTCTGGCGACGACCGCCCCCAAGTTGACACAGGCTGTCAACTTTGCGAAGTCCCCCAAGATCGTCTGCATTGGCCGTAATTACGCGTGAGTCCTCCCCAACCTACCTCCTCACCCAATGGGGATTGAACCAGTCCCAATCCTCTAAGAAAGGAGCATAAGGAAACACAGCTAATAGACGTCTCCCCCAGTGCCCACGCCGCAGAACTCAACAATGCGCAACCCAAGCAGCCGTTCTTCTTCCTCAAGCCCGCCTCCTCTATGCTCCTCCCCGGCGCCGGCCCCGTGCAGCGCCCGGAGGGCGTCGATCTACACTACGAAGTCGAGCTGGCCCTTCTAATCGGACGTAATGTGAAGGATCTCGCACCCGATGACACAAAGGGCGCTATGCACGCTATTGAGGGCTACGCGGTGAGCATCGACATGACTGCACGCAACATGCAAGACGAGGCGAAGTCGAAGGGCCTGCCGTGGAGCATCGCGAAGGGCTTCGATACTTTCCTACCCCTGTCTAATACGATTCCGAAGGGGGCTATTGCGGATCCGCATGCGGCGGAGGTGTGGTTGAGCGTTAATGGGGAGGAGAAGCAGAAGGATAGTACGGGGCTGATGGTGTTCAGGATCCCAAGGATCTTGAGCGATATTAGCAAGGTGATGACGTTGAGGAGGGGGGATATCGTGTTGACCGGCACGCCGAAGGGTGTTGGTAGTGTGAAGCCAGGAGATGTGATGACTGCGGGAATTAGGTACGGCGGGGTAGAGATTGAGGAGGGGAGAATTGAGGTTAAGGTCGAGGAGGCGAAGGGGTCGTTTACCTACGGAGAGACTTAAGAGATGATTAGTGAAAGACATGGCGAGGAGTAACTGTATTACATATATATCACTGTTATAGAATAGCGAGCAATATTAAAAACAGCCCTACTTTTGGCATTGTATATACAAACTTCATTGGTAACAAATATGTAATGTAAGCAAAGAATATATACCATCGAAACAGCCAGCAGCTACACAGAGAGGTAGCAGCCAACGGTCACAGCCCGCACTACCATCTCAGTGTCCCCTCAGACGTTCAATGCAACGCTGTACCCGCTAGTCTTCATGACCGCGTTGGTGCCGACGAACGGCTCCGTGCCAGCGCCAATGCTAGTAACGTACTGGCTAGAGCTGAAGCCCTGGCTCGCCACGAGGTACGTATAAAACGCCTTGAGATCACCACTGAAGCTGGTAATCTGGCTAGCCGCCACGAAGGAGTACACCTTCATGTTTCCATTAAGTCCGTACCACAGGTTCCACTTGTAGCCGGCAACGGTGACCGACGCGATGGGAGAGCCGGTGGCGGAGATGGGGCCTGCGCCGCCGAGGGCCGCGAGCCAGATCATGAGCTCATAGTCGCTGGAGCCGTCGCTGTTTCCGCCGGCGCTGCTGGACGTGAAGAGGTCGTAGGCGACGTTGGCGACCATGCCAGTGCCAGTGTAGCTGTTTCCGTGTCAGGGCCTGCGCCGCAAAAGTTGAAATGTAGGATGAAAGAAAAGAGAACTTACGTGTACGTCCACTTCGATGGGATCGACTTAATGGCAGACACCTTTTTCCCGGTGTCCTGCTTAAGAACCACATTCGCGTAGCTCTTAACATTGTAGGGTCCGCCCTGCCACGTCCACTTGGTGGACCAGGCAATGGTGGTCCCGCTCAGCGACTCGTAGGTGCTGCACTGGCTGCCAGAGGTGGCAGCAGACATGCCCCATAGGTCCTGGTACAGCGTGTAGGTGCCAGTCTGGATGGAGTCCCATTGGCCGCAGATCTCGGTGGCACGCTCGTTGATGGTCTTGGAGGGCGCTGGGACTGAGGCGGGGATGGCAGAGGCGGCCGCGAGGGCGGGGGCGAGGAGAGCGAGGAGCTTCATGTTGTAAAGTTGCGGGTTTGGAATGGTGGAGAGAAAGGCTGGTGGTGAGATGGGAGAGAGAGAGAGCTCATCGACGGCGAGGGGGGGTCCTTATTATAAGCTCTCCGGACTCACTGTGCAGAGCACAGAGCACAAGACTTCCAGCCCAACACTCCATCAGACGACCGGCCCTTTCCCCAGCTCACCCATAACAACGTGTTTTTAATATAAACGCATCATTTACCACAACCCTGTTGTGGGGTAAAGGCCTCCTCTCCCCAGCATCTATAGTAGACCGCCATCATCAAGTCCCCAAAGTTTCAATCCCTCAAATTCCACCAATGGCGCGCGGCGAGGACTTAATATAAGTGAGGCAAATCACCACGGAACATCCCCGATCCACGAAACAAGCTTAAGGTTCCTGTGCCGGGGCTTGGTATTAGCCTGCCGATCGTGGGGATGCGAAGTGCCGTGCCGCCTCCACCGGTCGTCGTGCGTCAAGGTCCGGCGGGGGCGGGGGACTGCAGAATTATTCCAGTTTGGTTTATGGTTGTTCCATGGCTATACCAGGCTTGGATATGTCGTCCGCGGTTGAATGGAGAGAGGGCGAGCGCGCCATAAGGTGTAGAATAGCATTGTGGAATATATGGAGGGGTAGTTTAGGCGAAACGGCGCGTGCCGATGCTGGCGGCGCTTTGGACGCCGCTGATAGAGCAACGCACCTATCTTAAAATATGGTTTCGTTTCCAGGGAGAATGCCAAAGCCCAAGGAAATCAGCTACGAAAGCTTGTTCCTGCATTGGCTATCTGTAAAATACTATGTAATATCACGTGCCCGTACGGCAACTCTCAAGGTTGACTTACAAGATGATAGGCACTGCTACTGTTCTTAGCACAGCCTCGAGCCCCACTTTGAGATCCTTCTACTTCTCCAACCTCTTTCAATTGTTTACAATATAGCTTTTGCCTTTGTCCATTCATAGGACACATCTCGGAATTTGTGGCTTTTTTAAGGTACCAGAATTTAATTGCTATTATGTCACAAATTGAGACCGAGGCACCACCTGCCTACAGTCCGTATAGGGGGGATGATACCGCAGGTCAGGCAGGAGGAGTCTCAGATATTAGCAATCTTACGGATTCTATAGGTGAGTGAGATTATTTTGCTTGGAATGATTTCAACGTTCTACTTTGCAGCTTTCTTTGTCCATTTAGCCCATTCCATCCCCTGACATTTTTTCAGATACAACAATTACCCTTGCTCGTGATACATATAGATCATGTATCAAGTACATAGAGGCCTTCGACCTAGTAGCTCACGATGTTGTTGCCCTCTTCGCCCTTCTAGAGGTTATAGGGGAGAGCGTGGAAGATCATGGTGTAAACCACGCAATGGTCGAATCCGCGACGAAACTCCTATCAGCATCTAAGGACTCTGTGTCAAATCTACAGACTTTGGTGACGAAGTATGAAGACCTCCCTGTGGAAAGCCAGAGGGTATGGTTGCGCATTATGGGAGGAGCAGAAGAGCTAGTTGGTCTTCGAGGTCAGCTTAGGAAAAACATTGATTCATCCAGTGCTCTGAATAAGAACATTACTAGGTAAGTGCATTGGTTGATTTATGTCGATAGAAGCTTCAAGAGGGTGGCATGGAAATCACTCCTATTCTTTCATTTGCTAATCTATATTTTAAGCTCGTCACCAAAAGGTGTTCTAGAAATGGTCCAGAAATTCATGTCAGAGATTAGAACGGGCCAAAGGAAAGAGTCTATTGTGTCTAGATCCACATCATTAAACGTAGAAGATGCCACCACGAGGATCCAGATACAACAAGAGCTTGAAGACGTCGGAATCACCTCGCTACTCTTCAACCAATTCCACGTGTTGATATTACAAACCCTTATTACCGAAAGGGACCTACCACAACAAGCAGTCGCCAAAGCACCCCCTAAAGAGTCTCGTGTCACCAAGGCCCTCCAGAATCTCAAAATCAACCGCGATCCATCTGGAAAGTCTCACTCCCCTGGCCCTTCAAATCCACCAACGGCAGGAACTGAAAAGAGCAGTCCCTCTGGTCCTTCAAAGACACCAACACCAGTCACTACACAGAGCGGCACACCCCCGGGGACAATGAATGACCTAATCACAGCCATCTCCCACGACGACCTCTCCCTCGTTGAACAATTCCTCGACCGCGGCTTCGACATCAACAGCCGCGACGAGAGTGGCCGTACCCCCCTAATGGTCGCAGTCGGCTACAACAAAGTCGACATCGCCGAGCTCCTCCTCCTTCGCGGGATCGATGTCAACGCCAAGACCTTCCACAGCGAAGAAACAGCGTTAATATCCGCCTGCGCGTCCGGGCGCGATAAGATAATAATGTTGATTCTAGAGCTTGGGAAGCCGGCTCTGGATCTGGATGCGAGGGATAGGAATGGGCGCACTGCCTTGATGAGGGCGAGTGCGCAGGGCTATGATCGGGAGGTCAAATTATTGGTGAAAGCGGGGGCGGATCTGGAAGCAAAGGATAAGAATGGTAGGACTGCATTAAATGAGGCTTCGCGATTCGGTCACGACCAGAATGCTCGCCTTTTAATTAAGCTTGGAGCGAAGAGGTGGTAAGGAAGATAAAATACCGTCATATGTTTTTTTAATTAGACTTGGAGATATTTCGAGTTGTTTTTGCTCACATCACCGTTCTTCCCACCTTGGAAATAGAGAGATGTTTCAAGATATATTCCTCACGATGAAGTCCCAATGGTGACATTCTCATCTCATCGACATCACTGTCCTCCCCGCCTTTAAAATGTAGGCACAGGAATCTACCTCACAGTCCTCTTAACCACAAACTCCTTCTCTCCCTCCACCACCGGAATATCCTCCGTCTCCACCTTAACAACCACTGCGTTTGGCGGACCAGTCTTAATCTCCTTCACCATCTTCTGCAGTTGCTCCTCGTTGCCCTGGGCCTCGCCTTCGATCTATTGATTCGTGAGTATGTTGCCATGCTTGAATCTTATGCGAGAAGCATCATAAATGATAAAACTAGGACAGATGTAGATAGAGTAGAAGAACATACCTTTTCACCGGCGATATTCTGGATCCAGCCCGTGACTCCGAACTCCTGGGCCCGCGTCTGGGTGTGCTTGCTGTGGTGGCATCAGTGGCTGTTCACTTGACTAGACACAGTGGAGCTAGCTACCGGAAGAATACACCTGGGGAGTTTTAGAATACGTATTTCGCGTACTTGACGGCAATAACTCACCTTGGACTATCCCTCCATGGATTCTAAAGGATATCTGGTGGGGGGGTGAAACGCATCAGCCTCGCTATCGAACGACGATCGAATGAGCTCGACCAAATCGTGATAGAACGTGCATACCCTTTTATTCATCTTGGAAGCTCCTCAAATCTGTACTTATCACTCCGAGACTTCAAATAAACCAGTGCTGTCGTCTGTTCACGTATCAACTCACTTGACAAGTAATCAACAAACCCAAAGCTCTCCCCACTCCGTCATACCCCGATAAAGCATCCGATAAACCCACACCACCACCACCACAATCTTAGCGCCCACCAGCCTCGCCCTAGCTTCCCTCCCTAGCGCCCGCCCCCAGATTCCACATACATCATCATCCAGGCCGTTCTTTTCCATCCCATCGCATCACATCTTCCCATCACCTCCACCACATCCGCCTCTTTATATTCACCTCCACCTCCACCTCCACCTCCCCCATTCTCCCCCCACCAAATCGAAGATGGACAACCCCACGGAACCAGATCAACCTCCCTTATTCCGCCCCTCCAAAAAGCGCAAAATCTACCGCCAGCGCGCTACCTCCCCGCCGACGACGATTGAAAACCTAGCGACTGAAGATACGACCACCTCCCTCTCCGCTGCAGTACCGCCACAACCACTCACTAGCGGCGCCGCTGCCGACGATGAAGACACCGCCCCCTCCACAGCAGCGATCCGCCGCCTCCTCGCCTCCCGCAGACAGCGGGGCGGGGGCGTCGAGTTCCGCGCCTCTAATCCCCGCGGCACCGACGACGCCGAAGATGTGGATGGTGAGAATGCCATAGTCGTAGTGCGGCGAGAATCGCATGACGACGGACATGCCGAGGAAGGCGGGTTAGCGATGGGAGGGAAGCGCTTCGTGACGCAGACGGGAATGAGTGCTGAGGGTGTTGATAGGCATATGTACGTCCCCCCCCCCCCCACTTTCTGTGGTAGTTGTATGAATGAGATGAGTGAGGCAGAGACTGATGACACAGGATGGCATATATAGATTCTGAACTCGCGAAACGCCATCATCATCAGCCTACCAGCACATCAACATCCACCCACGCCACCACCACCACCGCAGCGGAAGATAGCGCCGCAGCAGCATCATCGCAATCGCAACGCCAGCGCCAACCTTCTCCACCGTATCAGACAGCTTCGAGAGGGAAGTTAATGGAAATCGAACTCCCCCCCTCCTCTTCCACCACCGCTCCTCCCGTGGCGAAAGCAATCCGCAAACCCCGACTCGGGCGCGATGGAAAACCGATAAGGGGGAAGAAGAGGAGGACTGAAGAGGATATTCGGCGCGACGCCCTGGTGGAAGCGGTGATGCAGGAGAATAGTCTTGGGATCTACGAGTCACCCGCTCCTCCTACGACTAGTGGTGCGGGGGGTGATGGGGAGGGGGATGAAGAGATAGCGGAGCGGTTTAGGAGGGAGTTTTTGGAGGGGGTGGAGGAGAGGAGGAGGGGAGGGGGTGGAGGAGGAGGGGGACAGGCGAAGAAGGTGGTTGGGAAGGGGGGGAAGGAGGAGGAGGGGTTGAAGGGGCCGAAGTTGGGGGGGAGTAGGAGTGCGAGGGCGGGGGTGAGGGAGGCGCTTTTGAAGGCTGAGAGGGGGAAGAGGTAGGGGGGTGAGAAAGGGGGGGTTGGATGATTGTGGTGTGGTGTGGTGTACCGCATTGCTGTACTGTTACAGAAGGAAGTAAGAGGTTGTATACTACACCGGTAGACAGGTAAAGATAGTCTCAGTGTTATCTTCATCTAACTAACATGAGTATTCACGCAACCACCACAAACCACATCCACGCTCGCTATCCGTTCGGGATTTCTCCGTACCAACCTTCCGTCTATAAAAAAAACAATCGCAACGACCATTTTCGAATTCCATCCCAATTTCACCTCCTCTGTAATGAACCAGGCAAAGAAAAGTCCATGTCGAAAACGTTGGGGTGTGCGCCGTAGGTGGGTGTTGCGTGTCGTGGTAGAGATGGACCTGCTGCTGTCATCCTCCGCGCACCTTCTCGTCGCCGCTGATGTCTGCTGTCACCGCCGGAATCTGCCCACCACCCTTACGGAGGACGCGAGGAGTGACATACAGATTGTATCGCAGGACCGTGTATTCGCAGCAAGACGTATCTTTCGCTGTCTTGTCCATCTGCCGAACCACGGAGAACTGGTCGAACGAATTTGGCGTTGTCCTGGCTAAATCAGTATTTCCAGAGAAACCCAGTTATATATAACCTAAATGATGCCACGAGAGAGAGCGAGAATGTAATCAAGCATTGATTGAAGTGGCAATATGTAAGGCGATCTAACTAGCTAGGTAGCAATCTTGGGTATCGTCGAAAATAGAAGTCTGGCTCCTCCGTTTGTGTGTGTGTATGTTGGCTCGTATATGTACATCCCCCCCCATCCATCTCCATCAGCATCCCATCTCATCTCATCACCTCTTTCGATCCACAGAAGAAAGTGTGAGAGAGAGAGCACGGGACCATGCCGGCTCATCTACCCCCACCTCTTCCTCCTCTTCAACATTTGTAAAATTCAACCACATATCCACATATAAACATCATCCCCTAATCTCCCCCCCCAACTCCCCCCTAACCCTCCCAACCCACTCCCAAACCGCACCCTCAAACCCCCTCCAAGCGCCCTCCTCCGTCCCCGCCACTACCCCCCTAACATCAACCGTAAGATTGACCTCCCACCTCAACTCGGCGGCTTTAATCCAGAACCTCAAATTCTCCGCACACCGATACGGTTTCGCCGTGTCCGAATGCCACACGGGGATCGCTCCAAACGGGCGCTTCGAGCGTGATACAACCGCATTATGTAATTCCACCAACACCTTTCCCGTTCTCAGCTCCTCCCAGAAAGGTCCTAATTTCACCTCTCCCCCTCCCTCTCCCGGAAACTCCGACGGCGCGAAATCCGGCAAGATCACAGCAGGTGCCATGGCGCGCAAGAAAGCAATCTCCCTCACAACATCCAACTTCCCCTCCCCCGCCCACAACCGATCATCCAACCACGTCCACGCCCTCCTCTCCTCCATCTCCTCGCGCTCAATCGCCTCCTCCCTAGCGAGCATATCCCACACCCCCTCCACCCAATCTCTCATCGTCCGCGCCTCCTCATCTCGCAGACCATGCGCGAAATTCCTCGTCGCCATGCGCCGGAGTACGTCCATTACGCCTAGCAAGTCAGCGCGGATACGGCGCTCCGAGCGGATGGAGGAGAGGCGACTGGGGTGTGCGTGGGAGGTGTAGTAGCGGCGCGCGGCGCGGATGGCGAGGGTGAGGATGTCGAGGATGTGGAGGCCTTGGAGCTCGTGCCAGCCTTGGTTTGGGTCTGGGTCGCGGGTTGTGGGGGTTGTTGGGTCGGCGGGGTTAGAGTTTGAAGGGTTGGAGGTTGGGGCGGGGGTGGTGATGAGGAGGGCTGTTGCGTCTGATTCGGAGCGCCGACGGGATCCCGAGAGGGAAAGGGAGGAGGGTGTGCGAAGGTGGGGGATTTTTTTGGCGGGGGTGGTGCCGGAGGGGGACGGGGGGGATGTGGCTTCGGCCAAGGCTTGCGTGGCGGCGCGGAGGGAGGATTCGAGGTCTGATTTCAGCTCGGCGAGGGTGGGGGGGCGGGGGACGGGTTTGGTGCGGTGGTTGTAGGTTGAGACAGTGGGGGGTAGCATCTCGGCATGCGAGGCGTCGGAGTCGTATTCCGACTCGTAGTCGTAGGAGTCTGGCTCGGCGGAGATGGGGCCGCCGGGGGAGCCGAGACCGCTGTGTCTGCGGCGGGGTGTAAGGTCGGGACTGCTGCGCATGGAGGAGTAGGAGTCGTCCTTGTCGGAGTGGTGGCTTGTTCTTCGGCCGGGGGAGAGGAGGCCGCCTTCGAGAGAGGAGAGGTCCAGGCCGTTGGGGTCTTTCTTTTTGGCTAGCTGGCCGCCTTTGCCGTCGAGGAGGCCGGTGCGCGCGAAGTAGTATTGCAGATGTGCTATGCTGCCGAGGTTCATGACGCTCTCGCGCGACTGGGCGGAGGCGGCGAAGTTGGTGCCCTGGGGGCGCACGTAACCCCGCCGTTTGGGGCGCTCGAGACCGCCCATGGATTGGCGGGAGGTGTAGGAGGCGGAGGAGGAGCGGGAGGGGTAGATGGGCATGGATTTCCGCGAGGAGTCGGTGGTAGTTGGAGAGGGGCCGACAGAGGCGGAGCGCGTGGAGGAGGTGGTGGAGGTGGAGGGGGTTGAGTTGTAGTTGTGTGAGGGGGGGGAGAAGGATGAAGCGCCGGTTGGGGAGAGCAGCGGTGAGGGCGAGGAGGAGAGGAGGGAGACATCTCCGCTGGGATCGGTTTCCTTTGTCGCCATGGTCGCTCGCTGGGGAGGCGTGAAGGAGTTTGGGTGATTGTGGTGTGAGGATGCCGCGATGGGAGGTGTTTGTCGTGGTTTGTGAGGGAGATTGCAGGCACGCTGGAGCTTAGATTAAGCGGGCCATGAGCGTGGACCGTGGTCTGGGTGTCGACACTGGGGATGCCGTGGGTTGTGATGAGGTCTGTTTGTGCAGAGGAAGTATATGAAGGTCTGGCTTGATGTTAGGCAGATTCTGGGAGTATGTACAGTTGTCGAGAGTTGTGTAGGGAGTGGTAGATCGGATGGTATTTGGTGATGTTTGTGGGGGGAGCTTGGTATGAGGGTTGATAGGTGGTAGGTGGTGGGTGCTGTAATGGAAACAAACTGGTGTACTGTCAGCACTGTAGACTGGTCAACGGCACACATTTAATCCGTAGAGTACCTGGAGCTGTTGACGTTATAGATGGTCGTTGGTGTCTCAGTATAGGTACACTGCATATATATTATGCATACGGAGATAGTATAGTTAGAGTATAGTTAGAGTATATACCCAGATATACAGATCGATCACATATGATATTATGGCTTGTTATGGTCAGATAGCATCTCTCCCCTATCAATGGAACTGTGAGCACGGAGCTGCCAGTAGCTAGATGGCTAGCACCTGCCAATAAACCCCTCTTCGGGATTTAACGGGGTACGGGGTACGGGGTCCAGACGAATGCAATAATATTAACGGTCGACTGTTAAGGTTCAGGGGGTGACAAGGGGCAGGTCAGGGTCCAAAATGTACACCACACTATTTTTTGTAACGTTAGCCACGTGATGCACAGTGGTTATTTAGCTTCGTGCCCCTCTTTAGAGTACTGCCACTACTGACTGCCACATTTATTGTGTTCCTGCCACATCATGGCTCCATTGCTGGTCCATCACTGAAAGTACGGCACTGTATCTCATACTCCGACGACCGTTTCATGGTGTTTAGCCTCTTGGAACGGGTATCCCGTATAGTTACAGCCTAGAGAATATAGTAAATATATAATAAATACTACTGTAATATCGATACAACTTTTAGAGTGACTGGACACTTACAATCAATCTCCCTATCCTCCCCCAAAATACCACCTCATCAACGCCTCCAAACCCCCATCCATCCTAGAATCCTAGCAATCCCAGACGCCGCCGCCATCCCATTCCCAGCACATGCAGCCAGCCAGCATTGGGACCTAGCTGCCCTGCCCCCTTCCTCGTGCAGACCCCGTGCAGCTCCGTCCTCCTTTCTAGTAAGTCGGGTAGTCGGGGGCGTGCAGGGTTAGCAAAACCAGACGATGATCTGCCGGGCCCCTGTCTACAGTACCGTCCCGTGCATCATTTTTATGCAGAGTACACGTATCTCGTCACTTTTTTATTATCATCAAAGTCATAGCTTCAACGACACGGGCCGAGGGGAGGAGGGGAGCTGTTGATAGCGTTTTATACTTCTTTATGTCTTGTTGTTAATAGAGTGTTCTGCTTAGAATTGCCTGTCCTGGAATGTGTCGTAGAGAAGAGGTAGGATGAGTCGGGATTGTGCTGGAATGTGTTAGTGTGTTGTTTGTTTATGTTATGTTATTTAGGGGTTATCCTATCCACAGCCCAATATCGACCATACAGCACCTTGATAGTGGAGTTAACTCTGAACTCTCTACTGCAGTTAATTGCTGTACTGTGACATGAATAGTTCAGAAAATGACGCCCGAATGCTCCCCAAGAATCTTAAGGACCAGCTGCGACTGGCTGATTGTTCTCTTGGGCTGTTACTGGGCTGTTCCTAGGCTGTTCCTGGGCTCTGGCTGGGCTGGCTGTCCCCTCCCTCCAAGGTCTCCAAATATTAAAATTTGGAGCTGCGCCCGTTTTTTAGTTACCACATTTCGACGGGTTCAACTTTTTAAACACCACTCTAACTTCACACTATGAAAGGTACTTCTCTCCCAAGCCAACGGCGCGCGGTTACCCAAGTACCCCGTACCCAATTACAATATAATTACTCTACTCGTACTCCTCAATTCACAGCCCAACGTTGAATTTGAAGCTCATTTAAAATTCTAAAATATGATTCCAGCCTATCCCATGTCCTTCCTCATGGGTCCAGTTACCCCCCTACCCCCCCAATCGATCCCCATCCCTCCCCCAAAAGTTACTCCTGGAATTAGAGAAGCGAAACAATCCTAATCAATCCTACCACCTCGACATTTCTATACTCTACCTACTAATCTACTACTCCTCCTACTCCCGTATAATCATTCTCCAAATACCTCATTCCTCATTCTTCATTTCATTCTCTTTCCCCTCTTACTTCATTGTCCTTACTATCCAGAAAGGCCATTATGACTTTACCCTGATTTTGAACCCTTGTGCCCTTGAAGAGTGACCATGACCATCGGGTCTGTGGTACTTCCGCTTCTACGACGGCATGGATCATCCTCAGAATTAAAACCCACGCATGCAACAACGGTCGCCGCAGCCACTTCCACTTCCACCTCAACCACCAACCTCGACTCAACAACCTCAACCCACGAGCGCCCTCCCAATCCACCGCCGCCCATACGCCAGACCCGCCGCCCATCCCCCGGATTGGCCGCGCGACTCAAGGCCCTCGGCTTCACCAGCGACTCCAAGCAGCGCTCACCCTCCTCCACCGACGCACCAGGCTCCAGCAGCAGCGACTACATCGGCCGCATCCCCGAAGACCACATCCGGTCCATCGACTCCCTGCACCGCGCGAACTCGACCAGCTCCCTCGTCCCCCGCCGCGGACGCACCTGGAGCTCCAACAGCAGTAGCAGGCAACACGCTCCACAGATCACCGGTTCCGCAGAGACAGGCTTCACTGTCTTAGATCCTGCGGCCGACCGCCGCGCGAGCGACGCTACACAAGACCTTACACCACCCGCGATAATACCAGCAGCTACAGTAGCCGCGCCAATACCACCTCGTGCTGCTACTGCGCTGTCCGTAAGCGAGGCGGCCGTTCGGGCGGACGAAGTCGCGAGGAGAGACCCTTCACCCGTCCCCAAGGTCGAGATCAGCGACATGAGTACCTACGACGCGCCCTTCGACAGCGAGGACGTCCAGAAGTACCGCCTCCCTGAGCACGTCAACGGTAATGGCACCAAGGCCACGCTGGCCACGAAAGTAGCGCACCTGGAACGCATGGATGATCCGCCGCCGCCTATGCCGCTGCCGAAGGATCTGCCTGATTTGCCGGCGGGAGAGGATGATTTCTCGGGGGATGTGCAGTCGTATTTTAACCCGTTTGGGTTGCAGAGGGCGGGTTCGATATATACCCTCTCGAGAGTGTCGTTTGCGAATCAATTGGCACAGTTAACGTCGCTGCAGCTGCCGGATGCTGGATCCCTGGCCAGCAAGGTGTCAGCGATACCGACGTCGCATGCAGCGGCGAGAGCGTTGATGGGCGCAGCGGAGCAGATAAAGAGTTGGATATCCAAGGCGTCGGAGGTGCTGGACGGGCTGGACGCGGATGATGATGTTGAGTGGGCTGCTGCGGGTGGCCGTGAGGGATTGGAGGATGTGGATAATGCAATTGTGCGGTTCGAGCAGCTCATCAGCGTGTATGTGACTGCGATTGAAGAGTTACAGAATAGGACGGATATCTCGAACGTGCCAGCGAGCGAGCTTACGATGGTGGTTACGCAGGTGGAGACGATATTGAGTGAGTGGGAGAAGATACGGCGGACGCTGACGGAGGTCAAGGGACAGGTTGGCGTGGCTATAGAGTGGGAGGAGCTGTGGAATGTCGTGCTGGGAGATATTGGATATGAGATGGATATATTAAGCACGTTGGTATTTGAGATGGAGGAGAAGCGGCACAAGTCCCTCCTGGCCGAAGCCAGCGAAGAGGGCGTCGATCTGAAAGACCTCGAGACGATTGTCGAAGAGACACCACCTACCAAGGTCATCCACAACAAGAACCGCTTCAGCGTCGCTCCCGCGCCCTTCCCCTTAACCCCGAACTCACCAAGCACACCCACCACCGCACAAGACGACTCGAGTCTCCTCGCCCTATTCGCACGCATGCAACCCCTAAGAGCATCCCTTGACTTCCTCCCCATGCGCCTCTCCACCTTCCACTCCCGCGCCGAAGACACCTTCCCCACCGCCTGCGACGAGCTCGAAGGCCGCCGCGACGGTCTCGAAAGCAGCTGGGCCGCCCTCGAAAAGGACGCCGCCTCCCTCCGCCGCGAGCTAGGCGAAGACCGCTGGGTTCTCGTCTTCCGCGGTGCAGGCCGTCAAGCGAATAAAATGTACGAGTCCGTCGGCCGCAGTCTCTCCAAACTCCAAGAGGCGCTCGACAACGGCACACAGGCGCAAAACGCCTCAACCTTAGTCCAAAAGATCGAGAACTACGAAACCAAAAAGACGCACTACGGTCCCGCCATCGAGCGCGTCCTCGGCATAATCGAAAAGGGCGTCCAAGATCGCCTCACCGTCAACGGCGAGATCGTGCGTCTCCACTCCGAGATGCAAGGGAAATGGGAAGACCTCAAATCCCAAATGTCCGAGCTCGACAAAGCCGTCGAAGCCGCCCAAGCCGGCCGCCGCGAACAACAACTCCGCGACTACGTCTCAAGCCTTATGTCCAACGACCGCTCTTCCACCGTCGGTTCCGCCGCCGACACGCCCGGTAGCTCCCCGGCGTCATCGGTGATTATGTCCAACCTCGCCCACGGCACCGATCCCACCACCCCCGGCAAAGCAGGGAAACCCCGCGCCCCCACCACGGGGCTCCCGCAGCCGGGATCCAGACACACGCCCCTGAGCGGGAATTACCCCCGCCGCAACCTCTCCGCGCCCCGCTCCTCGGGGTATGGGAAGCCGACGTATACGCCTACGCCTGCGTCGCGCGAGGCGTCTGCTACGCCGACGGGGAGGATTCCGAGACTGTCGTTCTCGTCGGCGAGTATGGCGGGGAGACCGAGGTGGAATTCCAGCGTCAAGACGGAAGATGGGCTTACAGGACATAATTTCAAGCCCTTGAGTGCTGGGACACCGAGTCCCTACGCGCGCGGCTCGACGCCGACAGGAAGCCGTAACGCATCCTTCGCCGAGCGCGCGCACGAGCGGTCCGGCAGCGCCTCCAAGATCCCCTTGCGCAGATCGATGGGGGGAGAGGAGAGTCTGGGATCACCTGGACCGCCGCCGCCAGCGGAGGGCGCATCGCCGAGGCTACCACAAGTAACAACCCCACTACCGAATCGGACAAAGAACCTCGCCTCATTCAAAGACCGCATGGCAAGCCCCAGCCCAGGTCCATACGCACAACAACCCATGTCCTCCCCCGGGGGCCTCAAAGCGAGTAGACGGCTAAGCGTACAACCCAGCCCCGGGGCTAGATCAGTATCGAGAAGGGCGTCTATGCAACCCCTCTCTAGCGAAGGGGGGTCGGAGAGGAGTACGTCTACGAGTCCGTTGGCTGTGGCGAAGCGGCCGGGGAGTTCGCTGGCGGGGACGGCGGGGGGGAGGAGAACTAGTTTGCTGCCGCAGCCACGCGGGAGGGAGACAACGGGGAGGGATAGTAGGGCGGGTGGGAGGGAGAGTCCGGCTGTTGTGGGGGCGAGGGTGGCGATGAGGAGGGAGGGGAGTGTGGTTGGGAGTGCGAGTGGGGGGGATAAGGATAATAAGCCGAAGTGGAGGGGTTGAGAAGGGGGGGTGGTTCCCTGAACACGAAATCGATGCGGGGAGCAGCGGTCTTTGTGTGTGTTTAACTGTCTGACTGTTTGACTGGACTGTTTGACTGGACTGTTTGTTATTATCGTTGTTGTTGTCGTTTGATACCACTTTGATCATCTGGATTTTTTGTTATTTTTTGTTTAGCGATTCGCTGTTTTTTTTTTCCTGGCTTGCTGGCTGGGAGCTGAGGGCTGGGGGCTGGGGGCTTGATACATGGTTTTTGGGGGCTGGATCAAGGAGGGGTGCTGGGGGGGGTGAGGTGTATGATAGATAGGAATTGGACTGAACTGGGGTGGACTAGGAGGGTTGGGGATTGTGGAAGGGGGGATGGCAGTGTACGAAAGTAGGGGAGTGATAAGATGAGATGAGTGAGATGAGAATTGAGACTGTGTGCTTTTATATTGAGGGAGTTGCTTGTGTTGTGATGTGACGCTCCTGGTGTTGATGTGACTGCTCCTGGTGTGGGTGTGGTGGGTTTGTGTTTGTTGGTGGGTGGGTATGTGTGTGTGTGTGTGATGAGATGGGCGAATGGGGGTTTGGGTGTTTATTCTGTCCTTGATGCTGTTGTAATTTGTCCATGGCCACTGTTGTTCTGTTCATCTGGGTTTTTGGATGAGTAAGTGTCTGTGAATAGAGGCTTGATTGAGTGTTTATTCTCACTCTGCTTCTGTTTTATTTGTCAGCTATCATCTATGTGGTATCGTTGTTCTGTGGGTCTTGGGGTTGATACTCTGGTGTGCTTGGGTGGTGTCTATCTATACTATGACTGCGTACAAGTATTAGAGTGATGAGAGTATTATTTAAGGTTGTTTTTATTATTGTTCTTTTAATAGATGTGGTGGAATTTATTTAGCTTACCAACTTTAATATTATTCTGTAATATATATTTTAAAAATATATAAACTTGCGACCCGTATATATATTATTTCATAGTTATTCTTGTTCTATTTATTTGTCTGTGACTGCACTATTGCTGTCCGACTTTACTGTGTCTATCAACATTGCTCCGCTCAGCTTCGGTCCATTCATGACTGCGAGCACATACAAGAGTGAAGAGATGTAAGAATAGAGGCTGCCTGAGTGTTTATCCCTAGTTCACCCCCGTTATATTTGTCTGTTTTGTCCGTCTGCGGCAATTTACATGGCTGTTCTGGGTATCTGTCCATCAACGACCACATCCACGTCCACAATAGTGACAAGATGTGAGAGAATAGATCCGTTTAAACTGCCTGAGCTTCATTCTTCTCATCTATAATTGTCTATGATCACCTACATTGCTGCTCTTGACTTCTGTACCTGTGACTCCCCAAAACCAGTCCGTCGATGTTAGTCCACCCCTATCGTATGATTTCATCGTCATAAATCATCCCATCCACGTCCTCTTCCCAGCCCTGAAATAAATCATGCCATCCAAAATAGGAAGGGACGATAGTCCAGGCACATCCAGGTACTGCCCTGTCCCCATGATTCCCCTCTACATCTCCAACAAAAGGAAGGAGCGACCTTCCTTATTTCCCATCATATCCCATACCACCCACACACCATCTCTAGAGAAACTTACCCACCCCTTTAAGCATCTATACCGGAGTATGGGCCGATATTTCGCCGCTTCGCTTCGCTTCGCCTGTTCTTTGTGGTAGTGAACTTTGCCGTCGTCGTCGCTAGGTGGTCTGGTAACCTTTCGTGTTTCTGTAAACTGGATGCGTTCAACAACACATACTTTGCATACTTTGCACAACTAACCTTGTATACTTGCTCCTTGAGAGCTGGGGGGTTGTGAATAGAAGCATATTCTTCCTATTCTTTGATTGGGGACGCGACAGAGAGGTTTTATAGGTTTGGTGAGTCTGAATATCTCCAGTTTTGGCCGAGGTTGGGTGTGAACTTTAACACCACCTTCTCCTTTGACCTCCTCAGAGCTGAACAGAGAGTTTGTAAAGAAGAATAAAGACAAGAGAGACCTTTATACCTCATTCTTTCATCCCTTTCTTCCTTTGTGGTGGCTTGGCTGACCAAAAACCCCTTTAACAGCTTGCTCTTCAGCAACAAGAGCTTTCCTCACTTGAGGATCTTCAGAGATCAGATAACTTGCACGACATCCCATCCAAAGGTATGGAGAAGCTGATAACCCCTTTCCTTTGGCTTTTGCTGATCTCCTTTCACAGTTTGCTCTTTGCTTCTCCCAAAAAGGGCGTTCTCACTCGAGAGTACTGAGAGATCGAAAATATTTGCTCCCATTCTCATTCAACAACCAGAGCCCAGAAACATTTGTTCCCCCTTTATTCGACACCCAGAGCTTAGAAATATTTGCTCCCCCTTTATTCGACAACCAGAGCTTGGAATAGCTTTGCAGGATATATATCATCTTTCTTTGATCGGTATCTATACAAGCCGATCACCCACATAAAGCTTGCTTGATATTGCTGTCCAAGCTTGTCTGCTTCAAGCATATATAACCTGATCACCAAGGTGTGATCAGTTGAGAGTTTGACATAATGAGACCCTCAACATACTTTGCCGAGATTGGGGAAGTGTTCGTATTCAACATGGGTGATGAGCTTGTAAGTATCCCAACTTACCATATGCACCAAATGTCCCCTAAATGCTAACTGAGACAGATGCAAGAAATAATCCACGGCGACTATCTGATAGTCTACGTCCAGAGCATTGGTGGCCGCCGCCCACCTAACGAGATCCACCCGACGTCAGAGAGGATGGTGAGAATTTTGCCTGTCGGGGGGAACGGCGGGGCCAGTGCTTCCGGTCCCCAAAGCTTCATCAGATTCAACAATCATTTCCGCAATATCCGTGACCTTGTCTTCTACCCAACTAGGAAGAACGAGAGGGTCACTCTCGACAACTTGAAGGGTCCAAGCCCACAAATTGCATCTCCGGAGGACGCCAATAAGAGTCCCATGGCTGCCGAAGCTGGGGTTCGCATGGCAACAGGTGATAGATCCTGTACGATATTCAACGATTTTGATGTAGATCCATTGCCTTTAGCGCATGATGACCGCATGGAGCATCTATTTGCACATACCGATAACATACGCCAGAGGGGCTCCGTAATTTCCTTCGGTATGGTAGTCAATGATGATAAAAAAACCGGCTATGAATTTTGCCAACTTGAATTCGCAGCTGCCGAAGGAGACAGGATTCTCATCGTGGCCATCAAAATCCCAGACGAAAAGAAGAAATTTTCCAGTCTGAAACTCAAGAAACAGATACTGAATGTAGATTTGGAAGAGCTTGTCATCCAAAACTTCATTGGAGTTGACAAAGGCTTCTTCGCCATAAAGGAATATGGGAAGCAAGATGGCGATGAGACTAGTGCCCCTCTGGGCCCAAAGAGCCATGAGTTTTATAACCTCGACCTTGAGAAGTCCATGGAAAAGGACCTGTTCGAGAACTATTCGCACGAGGTTGGAAGAGTGTGCCTTGAGGCGAATCAATTCAACGCTGGCCTGTTTGAGGAGTGGCGCGAGATGATCCCATCCCAGACCATGGACGAACACCTGAAGAATATTTATGAGCTGTACACTCAGGAGGCTCTGTCGATTGTCGAGCAGTTGAAAACGCCTCCTATGGACGGTAGCGACGGCGGCCACCAGGATCTTACGGCCTTGACCGGCGGGAATGACCAGTTGAGACGTAAGCTGCACATCGTTCGAGATGCACAGACGTATGTGATGTCGAGGCGTAAAGATCTGGAGTTTGAGCGCGTCCAGGAGTACAACTTTGGGAAGAAGATTGGACCAGGTTTGCCGAGGCCTAGGCGCACCACAACAGTCATACGCAGGCCGACAGGCGGCTACATGGCGCCTCGCCCTCACATCCCAGATCTGAGCTATAGCAGCGGCAGTACGACGCCCCGTGCTCGAACCCCAACTCAGGGCCACATCCGCGGCAATATGACCAACGTGACGCCCCGTCCTCGCGCCCCACCTCTGAGCTACAGCAGCAGCCACATGGGCGGCGATACGACCAACGTGAGGCCCCGTCCTCGCACTCCACCTCTGAGCTACAGCAGCGGCAATATGACCAACACGACGCCCCGTCCTCACACCCCATCTCTGAGCTACAGCAGCGGCAGTACGACGCCGACCAATTCTCCTGTTAGGAGAGCACAGATGGTGAAACTGGACAAGGGGAAGGGGAAAGAAGTGCTTGCTACCGGCAATGAGACGCTGAAGGAGATTTTGGAGAGACTCATGAAAAATCCTAGCTTCATCCGGATGAAGGATAAACCAAAAGGCAAATATACTGCGGGTGAACTGGTCCGCCTGCGCCGCCAAGCCGAAGAGAATATGTGGAATATTAAGATCCCTTCTTTGGGAAGAAGTCTGGTTTCGGATTCTGGTCGTGGTGGGATGCTTCATCTTACTGTTGACCGTTCCCATTCTTTGGGAAGAAGTCTAGTTCCGGATTCCGGCGGTAGTGGGCTGCTTCATCTGACTGTTGACCGCTCCCATTCTTTGGGAAGAAGTCTGGTTCCGGATTCTCGTGGTGGTGGGCTACTTCATCCCACTGTTGGCCATCCCTTGGGAAGAAATCGAGTTTCAGACTCTGGTGGTGGTGGGATACTTCAGCCTACTGTTGACGACCATCGTGGGCGAAGAAATCGAGTTTCAGACTCTGGTGGTGGTGGACTACTTAGTCCTACTGTTGGCCATCCCTTGAGAAGAAATCGAGTTTCAGACTATAGTAGTAGTGGGATAATTCATCCTACTGTTGACGACCGTCCTTGGAGAAGAAATCGAGTTTCGGACTCTGGTGGTGGTGGGCTACTTCGTCCTTCTGTTGGCCACTCTGTGGGAAGAAATCTCGTCTCTGACTCTGGTGGTGGTGGGCTAGTCCGTCCTAATGCTGGTGCTGGTAGAAATGCTGGTGCCGAAGAAGGTGCTAAAGCAGGTGCCAGAGCTAATACCAGTGCTCGACCAGGTTCCAGAGTTCATCTTACTGTCGAATATGATGCTGACACCCAAACTGGTGCTAATTCCAGAGCTGATGCTGGTGGCGATGCTCGTACCAATACCGTTGCTGGTAGCAATGCCGCTGCTAATGCTGATGCTGGTGGCAAAGGTGCCCAAGCAGGTGCCAGATTTAATATCGGTCCCCAAACAGGTTCCAAAGCTCATGTTGCTGTCAAATATGATGCTGATACCCAGACTGGTGCCGATACCAGAGTTGATGCTGGTGGCGATGCTCGTGCCAACACTGTTGCTGGTAGCAGTGTCGCTGCTAATACCCTTGCTACCATGGATACTGGTGCTACCGTGGGTGCTAATACTGGCACTGCTTTGAATACCGACAATGATGAAGATTGGGAGTCGAGCGATGACGATGAAGAAGGAGGTGTAAGCTTGACGCCCGAGCCAGTCAACACCAAGCAGGAGCTGCCGCCCCTAGCCACTCTGTCCAAGCCGCGTACTCTGGATGGCCAAAGCGATTCGGTGTCCTCTCGTTCAACCCAAGAGAGCATGGCAAGGAAGCGTAGTCAGAGACCTCTTTCATCCGATGAAGATTCACCAGTGAAGCGTAGCCAGAATGGTGGTGGCGGTGTGTCAATCAGAAGCGTCAGCACCGAGGACAACTCATCTTCCAATGATGACCGTAAAATCGAATCCGGAGGAGGAACACCAGACAAGGCTCCAAGCCCAAAGAAGCGCAAACTGTCTGATGATAACCATGCTGCTCCGGGGGGTGGTAGATCGGACATTACGAAACTGACGTAGTTGATATGTTGCTGTTGTGGATGGAAAGTCTTCGATTTCAGGCTATAGGTGGTTGCATATTTGTGGGGTAGTGTTGTTTGTTTGTCGTTTTTCATGGTGGAGCTTACTGGTCTTTCTTTATTTGTGCTTTCTTAGACAGCAGATCCTCGAAAGGGGGTTGTGTTGTCTGGCACCGGCAAACAGTTTGCGGGCTTTTTTATATGCGATTTCTTTTCTGACAGATTCCGGCAGCTGGTTTCAGTTGTTCGTCATCTTATAGTTGTTTGGTTTTTTTCAGCAAGTACAAACTCCAAGACAGCAGTTTCTCACTTGAAGAGCAGCATTCCTGGGTTCCTGAAGAGGAGGCTGTTCGATAGATGGGTTTTAACGGAGCGGTTGTGTACGTTATTTTCATTTCACCTTTTCTGAATAGCAGGGAAGGAATACAGATGCGATGCCTTTATAGACCCGGTGCATAAAAAAGTGACCCTCAAAGTGCCGTGAAATAAACGTTCTTATATTAAGATTTAAGACCTTTATTAAAGACGCCATCCAGGTGATCGTCCCACACCACATGCAAGGGGCCACACAATAACCCACAAGGCTGCGAAAGGTGGTCCGTGCGCGCCACCCATTTCCACGAACGAGGCTCGCGACATCAACGACGGCTACAGGTGGGACAACGGCGAACGCGCATACCAACCACTCCCACGCATCCACACTATCTACATTTCTGGGCATACGATCCAGCGGCCTGAGTAACGATCTCTCTACAAGCGAATTGGAGCGGGTCAATTGGGCTGCTCTGCGGTGTTAGGGGCGCATCGTACGACCGGCGAGTTTATCAAGATGGCGCAGCCGGCTGTAGGAGCGGAGAAGGCGCAGACGGCGATTGCGACGGATGCGGATCCGACGAGAGGGATGCCGTATCATGATAAGTTGACGGGGGAGCTGAAGCAGGCGATTATGAAGAGGAGGGTGTTGGAGAGGAATATTGTTGGTCTCCCCGCCCCACTTCACCTTTCATGTTTGTGGTTGATGTGTTGGGAGACTTTGGATGGACTTGGGGGCAGTTGGTGCAGGAGTACAAGACAGTTGGCTAACGGATTTGTAGATGGCGCTGGATGAGACGATTTACAAGAAGGAGGGGGAGTACCTCGAGGACACGCCACATGGGAATGTGTTGACGGGGTTTGACAACTATATCAAGAGCATAACGAGCAATGCCGTTGGGAGGAGGAAGCAGGGCGTCAGCGAGAACGATAGGGTGTTTTCGCGGAGCAGCGTCAGGCTGGCGGATTTCATGGTATGGACACAAATCCCCGTCTCCTTGCTTGCCACTTCACCGAAGATGCCGTGGAAAGTACACTGCTGATATTCATGTCTTGATAGGATTCTCCCGGCGGGCTGTCAACGCAGACTACACCTTCAGGGGCACCAACACCCATTTCAGCTGGGTTTGGGAGAGAGGGGAGTGGGAATGCGACGCCTACGAGCGCTACTGCTCGCGCTGGAAAGAAGAAGCGCGGAAAGGGGGAGGGGGACGATAGTGAGATGGAAGAGAGAGAGGGGAAGAAAGCGAGGGCGGGTGCGAGAAAGTAGAGGAGGCAGTGGGTGGGTTCATCTGGCGTATTGGCAATGGGGATGGGGCGTTACTGGGTGGGAAGGGTTGGGTGGTGTCGGTGGCGATAGAGGAATCTTTCGAGTCTGGGGAAATGCGGTGTGAGAGCTGCAGCTGCAGTGATGATATGCAGTGATGCGCGAGTTTGGATCGTCTCTGCTGGCCCGCCAAGCGCGATGACAAGCTTTGAACGTGGCTGGTAACCAAGAGTCATACTATCAGTCATATCATGCAGCTCAGCTCAGCCATACTGATGGCTGTGAAGCTTGTTCTTTATATCGAACGCGAAGAGGAGTCACAATAAATAACGTCATTGTAATGTTATTTGACAGTAATCTGACAATTAGTATACGTCTGATATATGTAATCAACGTGAAAATAAGAAGTTGTCGTTAGTTAATCCCCGAATATCACCTTTTTCTCTTCGTCATGGGAATGATGGGGGAGCCTTGGGATGGGGGGCCTGGACTAGCGGCTAAATTTAGTTGGTACGTGCTTCGCCGGCGCAAAATAAAAAGTTTTAATGGGATTTTTATATCTCCAGTGGCGAATGGGCAAAAAGAACCAGAGAAACAAACACTCAACGATAAATGTAAAATACAAACTGGCCTTACATATTACAGAATGACTCTGATATTTGCCCCCCGTAGTCACAAATGTAATTATAGTTTGTTGTAGTCTGGCGATAACCAGGGGAGTGAACTTCTTAGCTCGCTTAACCCGATCGCCTCCGTCCCTAGTGCTAGTGGCGCACTTTTTCTGGTGAGGCAAAAAAACTTCATATTAAAGTAACTTCAGCTTGTTCACAACACAACCTCACCACTTTCAAAACAACAACAACTCCAAAAAGAACAACCCTACCCTAGATCCTTCAACTCTCGTTCTTGAGAGTTTTGGCATCTAGCTTTTTCACCCCAACAACCTCACCAACAAGTCGCAGAGTCTCGCTCTCCGACTTTTCAAGCCCCCCACCTTTTCCACCAACTCCTTCGCATTTCTAGATTTCAAGCTCAGCTTGAATCTAGAATTCCTCAAGCCTTTTCCGCAAACATGGCTTCCACCGATAAGGGTCTCGAGGAGATCCCAGAGGGTAAGATACACCCCTTTTGGACGATACTGGGTCGCGATTTGTTGTTGAACTGGGGCTGACAACATCATCAACAGGACAGATCGAGTCCAACTACGATGAGACCGTCGACTCTTTCGATACCATGGACCTCAAGCCCGAGCTCCTCCGTGGTGTCTACGCCTACGGTTTCGAGCGCCCATCTGCTATCCAGCAGCGCGCCATCATGCCAGTCATCAAGGGTAAGGATCTCACAACAACAAAAATCTTTTTCGCCACGACGCGACTAACAACATAACAGGACACGATGTGATTGCCCAGGCCCAGTCCGGTACCGGAAAGACCGCCACCTTCTCCATCTCCGTTCTCCAGAAGTTGGACCCCAACATCAAGCAGTGCCAGGCCCTCATCCTTGCACCAACCCGTGAGTTGGCCCAGCAGATCCAGAAGGTCGTTGTCGCCATCGGTGACTTCATGAACATCGAGTGCCACGCCTGTATCGGTGGTACCTCCGTCCGTGATGACATGAAGGCTCTCCAGGAGGGTCCTCAAATCGTTGTCGGTACCCCCGGTCGTGTCCACGACATGATCCAGCGCCGTTTCCTCAAGACCGACTCCATGAAGATGTTCGTTCTTGATGAGGCCGATGAGATGTTGTCGCGCGGTTTCACCGAGCAGATCTACGATATCTTCCAGCTCCTTCCTCAATCCACCCAGGTCGTTCTCCTGTCCGCCACCATGCCCCAGGACGTCCTTGAGGTCACCACCAAGTTCATGCGCGACCCCGTCCGTATCTTGGTCAAGAAGGCCGAGCTTACCCTTGAGGGTATCAAGCAGTTCTACATCGCGGTTGAGAAGGAGGACTGGAAGCTCGACACCCTGTCGGATCTCTACGAGACCGTCACCATCACCCAGGCTGTCATCTTCTGCAACACCCGTCGCAAGGTCGACTGGCTTACCGACAAGCTCACTGCCCGTGATTTCACCGTCTCTGCCATGCACGGAGATATGGACCAGGGTCAGCGTGACCTGATTATGAAGGAGTTCCGTTCCGGATCTTCCCGTGTCCTGATCGCCACCGACCTTTTGGCCCGTGGTATCGATGTCCAGCAAGTTTCCCTGGTCATCAACTACGATCTGCCCGCCAACCGTGAGAACTACATTCACAGAATCGGTCGTGGTGGACGTTTCGGACGTAAGGGTGTTGCCATCAACTTCGTCACCGCTGATGATGTCCGCATGATGAGAGAGATTGAGCAGTTCTACAGCACCCAAATCGAGGAGATGCCAATGAACGTTGCCGACCTCATCTAAGCGCCTTTCTCCAACTATATTACACATAATATTCGGTATATTCACGTATTCGACGCCCAATTCTGTGTTTGCTTTTGATATCGAGTCTCGAGATTTGAAGTATCCTGTATTTGGAAGGTTGGAGTCTCTCCTAGCGGAGGGCCGTGAGAGTGAGCGGTGATGCTGGTTCGCCCGGCCCGTGAGGAAAAGCATCTAAGTGGGAATTGTTCTGGGGGCGATCACTTTTGTGACATGGCAAAAAAGGGCCTATCTCGACAAAAGGTGGAATCGCTATTTCTTTTTGTTTTCGAAATATGAGTGCGCACGGTAGAAGGGGGCCATTCGAATCGCGTATGCTTGGCCCTCCTTTTCTCGCGATCGCCAACCATCATCGTTCTCGACGTCTCTGCTGTTTGGTTGTTTTTATGAAACTTTGCACAACTGGGAGCAGGCGGGCAAAAAATATAGAAGGCTCGAGTGTGCTGCTATGGATGATAATGAGCGAGGATTTTTCCGAAGAATGAAACGTGATGAGAGTCATGACTTTTTCTTTTTTGGGGAGAGACGCCTTTATGCTGCGTATGATGGAAGGGTTTCCTCCTTCACACCAATTGAAAAAATTCAATAAAAAAAAGACCAATTCGAGTGAAACATGTTGATGTTGAATTGTATTTACATATTATGTATGGCTTTCGTAGGTTATGTCAACTTTGATTTATCTTGAATCGATGCTGAGTTTATATTCGTTTATCTCGAGGCTGTCGTGCCTTCCCAAGCGTACAGCCCGGTCTTTCCATTTTAACGTACCTTCCAAACGTACAGTCCGTTCCTTCCATCCCAACGACGCGTTATCCCTCTTCATCACCACATCTATCATTCAACCCCCCCTGCCTCCAGATATCCTAGAGCCAGATCTCTGTACTTGATCTCGTTCAAGTCCCATCGAGCAGGTCTGCAGAAGTCACCAGGTTACAATGCCCAGGATATTAGACCTGCCGGATCCCAACCTACCCTTCTCCATAATATACAATTACTTTTTCGAACGCTACAATAAAGAATTGAAAGCAGAGCTGACAGTCCTCACCGAGGCCGACAAGAAGAGGGAGGTCGAGATACAAACCCTGAGGGAGAAGGTTGAGGAAACCCTACCTGCGCAGCTGCAGCAACTGGTCGAAAGTAGTGTGAAGTCTGCCGAAAAGCTCAGAGTCGACATAGACATGTTCAAAGAGGAGACCAGGGCGTTGTTGGTAACCCAGGCTCAGGAGTTCAGCCGTACCTTCAAAGAATCCGACGAGAAGCACAAGGTTGAGAAGCAAAATCTCATAGATGAGCTGCAAGCTATGAAGAGGAAGTGCGACGAAATGTCTCAGCGTGTCGAAGCTCTCGAGAAGGCAATGCAGGACATGGGTGAGACTTGCTATATTCAGTTTGTGCTCTGAGTAACAATACTGAATAGAATAGAGTCCGTAGGCGCCAATGCTCGAGCCCGCAAAAGATCACGGCCCACACTCACCGCACAAAAGTCGATGCATACACCCGGCGACGAAGCTGAACTCTCCACCACCAACAATGTCCCGATTGCACAAGCCGACAAAGAAGCTCCACAGCCGAAAGCACACCAACAGGCAGCCGAACCCGAGACACCAGCACCATATATGGACTCCTCAATCACAATGATCGCCGCAACGCCAACTGCCTCTGTTTCCGCCCCCGACATCCCCCGTTTCCACAATGGCCACATACGCCAAGGTTCCCTCAGTCTTGATGATTACGCAGCCATATTTGCGCGCCACTTGGCCTCCATCCGCAATGCAGACCAGAGCGATGGCGAGGTCGGGCCGGCTCAGCGGGAAGCCGTCGGAAAGTTCGTACTTGGAGTGAAGAAGGCCAGCGACAGAATACGATTGGTCCAGGACCTGGAGAAGAAGGGACTCGCGACGACTGACCAGCAAACGAGAAGTGTTGAGCTTTTCTGTGGGTGGCAGGCTGTGAAGGAGGTTCTGGAGGGGTGGTAGAAGAAGAGCTTGGGAGATGAGGGGAGAGGGAAAAAATAGGACATCGTGGAGGTGGGAGTTGGTGACAATTAGGGTTGCTTTCTTGCTGATTTACGTAGCTTCAGTGACAAATGTCCGTATATTTTGGGGTTCAAATAACACCGGGGGTAGCATAATAGAATAAGTATCACAAGTCAATAGACTCAGAAATTGGGCATTCCATTCGCTGTATATCCAAGAGAAACGCATGGTAAAGTATACTCCTTTAATCTATTGGTCTCTGGAGCTAAATATGATGATCTGCTTTTTTATTAAGTGCCTAGAATTAAACATCATCCTCCTCAAGAATTTCAATGGACCAATCTAGCGGATCTAGCCTCTGAGGTTGATTTGAAACCGTGGCGTAGTTCTCTAGTACATCAGCAATATCCTCATAGGCTTCTATAATAGGTCCTCTTTCCACATCAGTAGAATCATCACATATATTCTTTGCTAGTTGAAGAGCGGTCATCCCATACGAGCTAACCAACGTCCTATCCGCACCAACATCAAGAAGCCAACTCAGTCCATTGAATAAGTCATTCCTTTTAAAGTCCCCATAGCGGCCGAAGGCGTCATTTACGAGACTATGAAGCAACGTCATTCCACGGTTGTCTTGCTCGTTAACGCCAAGTCGGCCGTCACGTAGGAGCAAAACGACGGGCCTGAATGGCGCGATTCTCGGGTGTCCGAACCATCTGTATAGATGAAAAGGTGCTTGCCCGGTGGTCGAACGCAAAGATGGGTCAGCACCAAGCACCAGACAACGGACTGCGAATGCGTAGCACGTTTCCGAGCTATACCACAATTGTGGCATTCTTTCGAATGCATAATGAAGAATCGTCTGGCCGCACTCGTCCCTAGCGTTAATATCAATCTTCAACTCTGAAATGACAAACTCTAACTCCTCTCCACTTCCTTGGACAGCGAAGTACTTTCGAGACTTAGCTGCTGCTTTGAGGATTTTGTCTGCGGCTGCAGTGCTTGCACCCCACTGATTCACAAATATACGAGCAAGGGCGACAGAATTCCCACGAATTGCATCGCAAATAGGAGTTTGACCACCAGCCCCTTCTGCTTCGATATCGTAATTATATCGCTTTAGCAGGTAACTACACATCCGTCCATTCCCAGAGCCGGCGGCCAGGTGCAGTAACGAGTCACGTTTTACGCCTTTTTTGATCGACTTGATGTCTTCGTCGATGATGCGTTGACCAATTTTTGTCCCCGCCAAGATTTGGAAGATCTCTAAATCGCCCCGTTTTGTAGCGTATTGTAAAGCACTTTCGCTATTCCAAGATGTGCATCGACTTTCTATGTTCGCCTTGTAGCTTAAAAGTAGCTGGATTAGCTCAGTATTTCCGCTATCAATTGCAAGACACAGCGGTGACCGGCCGGAGAGCCCGTAATCGCTGTGTCCTGCAAGCCGGTTGACGTATCGCTGGAACGTGAATGGTGAGGTAAGCTTCCTTCGTTTTAGTAACTTCGTCGCCAAAGCTACAAGTCCAAATTCGCAAGAAAATTGAAGTAAGTTTATAGCTTCTGTGCTTGAGAGTTCTTTACTGCTCGCATTCCGCCATTTGTCTCTAATAGCTGACATATCCGAGAAGAAAAGCGGGTTCCTATCAATTAATTGCCAAAGGCCCTTGTCTTGTAGTCGTTTCAGGTGTAGGTCCCAATTCGATTGTGCGTATTGGGCTAGAGGGTATCCATTGATGTCTTTGTATCCCTGCCAAGGGCGTTGATCTTCAACACATTTAAGCCATTCGTTCTGCATAGAAGATAGCAATTGACAGGCGATGTCAAGATCACCCTGTGCCTTATTCACGTGGAAAGCCGAGATTGCATGGTGCCTGGCTAGTCCAAAAAGGAAGTCTTTAACGCTTTGGTGGACAAAGGTTACTCTAATACTGATTGAGGACGAGGCATCTTGAGACTCCTCCTCATCAGCATCGCTAAGGCGAGAAAGCTGAAGTAAGTGGCCACAAGATTCAATATAGCTCTCACAGAGCTCTTCTTTTGATAGATAACCGGATGCATTAATCCGCATGGCTTCAGCTAGCTGAGGCACTGTCAGTGGAAACATAGCCAGCGAAATCCATTTCAGCATAGTTGCGATGATGGCAATGTTGTCTGGCTTTATACTCAGCAATATTCGCTCATAAATCTCATCCAGCCCTTTTGGGAGTGTTTGCAGTGCCTTTTCGATCCCGGGTACCGTTTGCTTCTCAAGGTCATCAGCCATGAAGCTGACCCAGAGGAATGTATCTTGCGATTTCTCCCGAAACGTCTCTTCGATGTGCTTAACAAGGCTCGTAGAAATCCCCTTTCGCTCGGCCAGTTGCGCAACTCGAGAGGTGATGTATGAATTTATGTCGGGTTGATTGCTGATCTGATCGGAATCTAGGTCGATTCGCGGGAATGAGCCCAGCATTCTCTCGAGACACTCGGGGTGTCTCCGACTAAGAATTATGAGACTTAGTCTATGCTTGTCTACGCTCTCTGTGAAGAGTATCTTAATCTTCTGAAGTAGATTCGGAAGAGAATCATCGGCGCATTCATCTAGTCCGTCAAGGACGCAGATCAAATCCGTCCCAAGGTCCAGGTCCTCTAGCATTGTCTGGAATATCCTCCAAAGACTTTCGAAGGAGTTGCTATTGAATAAAGCATCCTGTTGTATTTTCCATGGAGTAAATACATGGTGTAGAAGTCGCGGGTATTTGTCGATAAGTTGATATAGTAGGCCACGGATGATCGCAACAGCCGTGTTCCGAGATGCGTCTTTATTATCGCAAAAGAAGTATATAACATGTGCAGACTCTGATAGGCGCTTGGTGAGAAAGATAGAGATAAAAGTCTTTCCTTTTCCTGGCCCTCCTGATAGCCAAAGAAGACTCGGAGGAGACATGATCCAAGCCTTATACTCGTCGGTAGATGTGATCCACTCACATGTGCCCTCGACTCTGACGCCCTTGGCAGTAATGATTGCATCTCGATGATCGGTTGGATTAGTGATGAAGAGACTTTTCAGACATCGCTCTTCTTCAGTTCCAGGCTGAATCGCTGCTTTGATGAATTGGACATCTTGCGCGGTTTGATACCCTTGCGTGCTACCTTGCTGTTAGTCGTAGAACTAGACTCGGTATGGTTGTAATACATACAATTGAGAAATATTGATCTTAATTAACAACGTCCCCTTAAATCGTTGTAGCTCCTCGAAATGCTTTATCACTACTGGTTCCTGGTCTATGCCTTTGATGGCCAGCCAAGTCTTATGTAACCGCGAGTCACTAGCTGTGAAATCAAGGCCGCTGAAGATATCTATAAGGCCACGACAGATAGTTCTGCAGCTTTCGATGGTGGCATCGATTTCATAGCCGTCGAGGGTAGGCAACGCTTCGATATTCTTGATAAGCCCCAATAAATCTTCAACTTCCTGGCGCCAAGCCTCAAGCTCCTTTGGAGCGCCCTGATATTTGTCGCGGATAGACCTAATCAGCTGGACTAGCTTGAAGGCATCTCTAACAAGCTGCTCCGCCGCAGCCGCTGCTCCTAGGCCTTCCATTGCTGCGGTCGATCGCACTCACGGACGGCGAGGTGCAAGGTCGCACTCATAAACGTCGAGGTGTAATGTGGCAGGATGGGGGCGGGGTAACTCGACTAACGCATCCTTCTCACAGGACAACCAACTGTTGCCTGTATAGCCTCACCGCGCACGTACCAGTTGTTCTAGCCTAGTATATAACTTAACACAGACAGGGGGCCTAGTTCTCTCAAGTCCATAGTTGTGTATAATTATTCTTCATATAGTGCGGTATATATGTAGTGTCTGCTTCTTAGAGGTTAGTGTGGATGCGTGAACAGGGATAAGGAAGCCACTATTACTCTATAGCCGTTGTCTCTTGTTATAAGCCTCAGATTCTCCAATTTGCAACCAAAAGTGAACAGAACTGTAGAAAATGATTGTATGGTTGTTGGCGGATATGCCGACAACCAAGCTACTGCCCCTCGGCAACCTCTCTCACTGTCTAACCAACATATTTCCATGACGGCGTCTAAACAGACCTAACATCTGGCCTAAGAACCGACGAGTCGTCCTCTGTCTTGCCCTCTCTTGTAGCGTCATACCATCCCCTACTCAGCATGGCAAAAGCACCATTGAGAGAACGAAAACTCCACTATTGAAAGAACTTCTGAGGATACACACAAGAACTTCCTCTGTTTATATCATCTTCCGGAGGATGCAGGACGAGGCAATCCACTCTCAAGCATCGTCCACAAGTTTCTATGGTGAAGATCTAGCTCGAAAGCTTCTTCTTTCCCGCAGATTTTCAGGGGAGTTGTCAGAGTGCACAGTACCGTCAGACCCTAGCTCTAGACAAACCAATTTCAGGGTGATAGGCTGTTAAGAAGAAAAGAGAACACTTCCCGGGCCCCCCGCCGTCTCTATCCCGATTCACAAGTAGCATATATACCCCCCACCTTATTTCCCCTTCCCCTCCAAATTCGGATCCTCGATCTCCCCCTCCGCCGGCCTCGCCGGCGCAAATGTCCCACAATCACTACAGTCCCTTCCCCCCTTCTCCCCAGAATAGGCCTGCACCTGTTCCTTAATCTGGGTCCCCAGATCCACGCAATGGAACTCGACCTCATGAACCACCTTCCCACATGTCACGTTCGGGCAGTACCACCGCATTTTATCCACGCTCCCCTCAGGGCGGCGCTGCTCGATCACAATCCCGACTGTGTTGGCGAAGCGGATGGGGTTGTGTGGGACGTTGGGAGGAAGGAGGAACATGGAGCCTTCGGTGATGGGGAGGGTGCGCGGGATGCCGTTGTCGATGATTTTGAGGAGGAGGGTGCCGCGGTATTGGTAGAACCATTCGGGAGTGGTGTTGATGTGGTAGTCTGTGCGGGCGTTGGGGCCGCCAACGATCTGGTGGGGAGGTGGGTTAGCTGGAGCTAGATAGACAGAGTGGAGGCGCGGAGGAAGGTGGGGGGATGGAGGAGGGTACCATGACAGTCACATCTTCATCGTAGACGCAGTAGTTGTTCACAGGTGGTTGGAGGAGGTGCGAGTTCTCCTCGAGCCTGGACGAGTTAGCTGTGCTCTACTCCTCTGCGCTATTCCGCGATATCCGTGCTGCATTGTACACTTCGAATGCCACTGAGGAAGCACATTGTGCTCCAACGGCTCGCGTGTGCGCAGCTCACTTACCACTTGGGCAGGTTCAACGGGCCTGGGATCATTGCTTATGTTGTGTTTCTCAAACAGTCTGTCTTTTGGGTGTGTATTCTGGTAGTATAATATATATCACAGCTTCCAAACTCTCTGAAGATCCTCAATTTGCCAGAAGTCGACGTCGAAATTAGAAATTATGGTGATTCATCACTCCGTCCCCTCCGGCGATATGCCCCGCGCCGATCCGATCACCCCACGTCCGGGTGGCCACAGCGCGCTAGCCCGCCCCAGCGCTAGTCTTGCCGGTGCAGGGGTGTCCCATTATCGCGTCACGACAGGAGGTTCGTCACAGCGGGCGTTTGAGCACATTACATTGTCTATTGCATCTGAGACGGCGAGAGGGGAAACGGTACAAATAGGCAACCGACCGCAATTCAGGACGGAGGAGATATTTTGTTTACTATTTACTGTTATTGATTGATTGTTCGAATACGCTTGGTTGTTCGATTGTTAGCTATACAATAACCCAACTACCCGGGTTTCGACGTCGACCTCGCTCCGTATAGCTGCGTCTGCGACGGCATACCAACGACGAGACACCAGAAGCAAGAGCCAAGCAACAAGAACCAAGGCTCCAAGACTCCATATCGCTCAAAATGTCACACACAATGGGCCATGGCGACCATGACGCCTCCGCGGCGCGCTGCAACATGAACGTGAGTCCCTCCCTGAGTCCCCAATGCTCCTGCACACGACCAAGCTAACCCCTCCCCCAGATGCTCTTTACCTGGTCCACTCAAGATCTCTGCATTATCTTCCGCTCCTGGCACATCACCGGGCCCATAACACTTACCATCTCCCTCCTCGCCATTGTCGCTCTCGTGGCTGGGTTCGAGGCTCTGCGCGCCACGACCGCGCGATACGATGCTGCGCTGTTGAAGCGGAGGGATGAACTACCCCGTATGTCGCATCTCTTATGTCTCCTACCCCCATCCGGCGTAGTTACACCGGGCCCATCCTTTCCCCTTTCCCGTTGTTGGCCGAGATCTTGTTTTGCTTTTCGCAGAGAGACCGCGCTGAACGCTTCGAGACGAGGAACCTGCTGAGACGACGACGCTGCTCCCAGGACAGCAACAAACTTCGAGGGATGTGCGACGCGCAAAAGTGGCGAGGAGCGCTCTGTACGGATTGCAGACGTTTTATGCGTTTATGATTATGTGAGTTCCTCCCTCTACCTTTCGGGAGGTAAATAGATAGATGGGTAGATACTAATGGAGCAGGTTGCTGTTCATGACATACAACGGACAGGTGATGATTGCCGTCGGCATTGGAGCTTTTGTGGGACACCTGGCGTTTGGGGGTGCGACGACAGCGACGAGGGAGACTGCTTGCCATTAGTGGAAGGAAGGAGCAAACGGCTGAGAGAACTGGGAGGGAAGGAGCAACCAATGAAGAGACGGGATTCAAGAGGAAATAGCGAACGGACTCGCAGGGAAGGAGCAACCGATGGAGAGATGAGACTCGAAGAGCAGGTGCAAACGGAAAAGAGAACACGGAAGGAACGAGCAGATGGCCGGGGAAACAGCGACCAAGACACCATACTGCGGGCATTCCATTCTATTGAGCGAAGTGCAATTGTTTACCATATAGTTATATATCCATCCACATCCACACCCTCCAAGACCCCTTGATCTGATAATAACCCGACCACTAGCTTCATCCATCATCCATCGTACGACTCCCCCCTCATACGATTGCCCAAATTCCACATGATATATATACAGTCATACTATCGCACGATCTCCCCCTGACTATAAAAGTATCGCGCATTTCCCCTGACGCTTATTATTCACCCCTTCTACTTGCCTTCTCTTCCAGAACATTACGGTCCTCGGACAGACCCAAAGCATCCTTACCACCTCAACCACAACCACAGCATCCTTCACCATGGAGCATGAGGTTGCGCCAGCCCACCACCACCACCACCATCACCAAATCTCCCCCCTCTCCGCCCCTCAAGCCGCCGCCCCTCAAGCCGCAACCCCCCACATCAACCCATCCCTCCTCTCGCAACGCACCCAATCAACTCTCGCCCCGCCGACCCCCCCGCGCTCTCCCACCATCCACGCAGCTCCTATATACCAACTCTACCCCCCGCACGGCTTCACCCCACCCGCCTTCACCCCGCCCCCGCCCGGGGTCGGAACTAGTAGAATAGCACAGCTGCGCACGTACCTCGACCCTAGGCACCCGGATTATCAGCACGAGAGACAGCATGCTAATATTTTGGCGCCGATTTGGATGTATAGGGTGGGGCTTCTGGATGGAAGGATGCAGGTGGTGATTATAGGGGGGGAAGTGGTGACTCAGCCGGAGGCGAGGAGGTCGGGGGGGAGACGGGAGTGGTGTTGGGTTGAGGTTAGTTCTTTCCTTGTTTACCTTTTTTTTTGTTCAAGCCTATTCATTTTGTGATGGTGGTCTTTTTAACAGGGAGGGGATGTGACTGACGATGATTGTGTAGTCGGGACTTATAGTCTAATAACCCTTCGACATTTCTTTTACTATACCTTTTCATAGCTGCAATATAAGGTTGTACCTGAGTCCCCTGAATCCACGTCATAGACAGCATCGTATGATCCTGAAGGCACCTATAACTCCCTATAACTCACCTCCCCCCCTCCCGTAATTTCTCACGACTCTGCTCCCTATTCTATAGTAAGCCAGCTACTCTTACGAGTGACACGAAATATCTCTACCACAACCACAACACAACACACCACCGAAACAATCATACCATCCTACCCCCACCAACTCCCAACAGCTACAACTACGATGTCCACCCACTTGCCCCCGTCATGCCCATCCCATTAGAGGTCTCGGTCCCGGATATAATCGCGCGTCTACGCACCTACCTCGATCCCACACAGCCTGATTATTGGCGGGTGGAACAGCATGTTAATATCCGCAAGGCTATTGCGATGTATGAGAGCGGGGAACTAGACGGGTATAAGGAGGTATTTATTAGGGATGGCAGGGTTGTGAGTAAGAAGGAGGCGCTTGAGTGTGAGGGGTGGTGTTGGTGTGAGGTTAGTCTTTCTTTCTTCTTTATGATATGTCTATAGAGAAGCTGTTTTTTTGTGACAATGGAGTGGCTAATGATGGATGGGTAGGGGGCATAAGTCGCTAATGACTGTTTCTCCATTTTTAGAAGAGGAATGATGTAAATATACACCTAGCTGAGTTTATAAAATCCACGTGATAAACAGTATCGTATGATCGTACGATCCCCCCGTCGCTATATATAACCTCATCCTCCCTCCCCTATCTTTTCCCACCTCCCCCTCTCTCTCCTCTCCCCCCAACAAACCCCCCCTTTCGACAAAAAACTGCCGCCCTCACCACAAGACAAACACACCATGCAAATATCGACAGAATTCACCACCCCTGACTACACTCGAGGCTCACGCCACCCCCCACCCCACCCAGTATCACCAACCCAACCAATCCTCCCCACGCCCATCCCGCCCATCATCGACGTCCCCTCCACAATTACCCACCTCCGCACCTACCTCCACCCCGACAACCCCAACTACCACCGTGTGCAAATACAGCAGCATCTCAACATCTGCAAGGCTCTCCAGATGTATTACAGAGGGGACCTGGATGGGAGGAGTCAGGTGACGATTAAGAAGGGGAGGGTTGTGGAGAGGGAGGAGGTGCTTAGGGCGGTGAAATGCGGCTGTTGGTTGGATATAAGGAATGGGTGTTTGTACTTTGTGGAGGGGAAGGTGAGGGTGGTGGGGGATGGGGAGATGGGGGGGGGGGCGTATGTTGTGCCTCTTTCGCGGGTTTCGTAGGGGTGGTGTAAATGAAGTGATTGAGTTCTATTAAATCCACGTGATGAATGGTATCGTATGATCGTATGATGCTCTTAAGATATCTATAACTACCTCCACCCTCCCCGGAGATTTCCCATATCCTACTTCCTTTTCTATAGTAAACCACTTGGTGACAAGAAACATCTCTACCACCACCACTACTACCACAACTACAACCACCACCACAAAACATCATCATGGAAACCCCCCCAGGAAACCACCCCGCTATCCCTAACCAACGCCCCCGCCGCCCCCCCTCCCTCCCACACGCACTACCTACACCCCCCGCCTCCCCACGCCCCGCCAGCGTGGCCATACCCATCCCGCCTGTGTCTGTTCTCTCCATCCCCGCCACAATCGCACGACTACTTACCTACCTCGACCCCACGCACCAGGACTACTATCGGGTAGAACAACACCCCAACATCCGCAAAGCCATCTCGATGTATGAGAGCGGGGAACTGGACGGGTTGAGACAGGTTGCGATTATGAGGGGTGGGGTTATGAAGAGGGAGGAGGCATGGGAGGAGTCATTTAGGAGAGGTAGGGGGGCGGGCTGCTGCTGTTGGATTGAAGCTCGTGGGGAGTTTTTGCGGTTTGTGGAGGAGACGGTGAGTGAGGAGCAGTGTTCGGCGGATACGTATCCGGGTAGTATCCGTGATGC